TGACACACTATACAGGTGACACATTATACAGGTGACACATTGTACAGGTGACACACTTTACAGGTGACACACTATACAGGTGACACATTGTACAGGTGACACACTTTACAGGTGGCACACTATACCGGTGACATGTTATACAGGTGACACACTTTACAGGTGACACATCATACAGGTGACACATTGTACAGGTGACACACTTTACAGGTGACACACTTTACAGGTGACATGTTATACAGGTGACACACTTTACAGGTGACACACTATACCGGTGACACACTATACAGGTGAGACATTATACAGGTGACAAACTATACAGGTGACACACTTTACAGGTGACACACTATACAGGTGAGACATTGTACAGGTGACACACTATACAGGTGACACACTATACCGGTGACACATTATACAGGTGACACACTATACCGATGAGACATTGTACAGGTGACAAACTATACAGGTGACACACTTTACAGGTGACACACTTTACAGGTGACACACTATACAGGTGACACATTGTACAGGTGACACACTTTACAGGTGAGGCACTTTACAGGTGACACCTTATACAGGTGACACACTTTACAGGTGACACACTATACAGGTGACACATTGTACAAGTGACACACTTTACAGGTGACACATTATACAGGTGACACATTGTACAGGTGACACACTTTACAGGTGACACACTTTACAGGTGACACACTTTACAGGTGACATGTTATACAGGTGACACACTTTACAGGTGACACACTATACAGGTGAGACATTATACAGGTGACAAACTATACAGGTGACACACTTTACAGGTGAGGCACTTTACAGGTGACACCTTATACAGGTGACACACTATACAGGTGACACACTATACAGGTGAGACATTGTACAGGTGACACACTTTACAGGTGAGGCACTTTACAGGTGACACACTATACAGGTGACACACTATACAGGTGACACACTATACAGGTGACACACTATACAGGTGACACACTATACAGGTGACACACTTTACAGGTGACACACTTTACAGGTGACATGTTATACAGGTGACACACTTTACAGGTGACATGTTATACAGGTGACACACTTTACAGGTGACATGTTATACAGGTGACACACTTTACAGGTGACATGTTATACAGGTGACACACTTTACAGGTGAGGCACTTTACAGGTGACACACTATACCGGTGACACACTATACAGGTGACACACTTTACAGGTGACACACTATACAGGTGACACACTATACAGGTGACACACTTTACAGGTGACACACTATACAGGTGACACATTATACAGGTGACACACTATACAGGTGACACACTTTACAGGTGACACACTTTACAGGTGACATGTTATACAGGTGACACACTATACCGGTGACACACTATACAGGTGAGACATTATACAGGTGACAAACTATACAGGTGACACACTTTACAGGTGAGGCACTTTACAGGTGACACACTATACCGATGAGACATTGTACAGGTGACACACTATACAGGTGACACATTATACAGGTGACAAACTATATAGGTGACACACTTTACAGGTGACACACTATACCGGTGACACACTTTACAGGTGACACACTATACAGGTGACACACTATACAGGTGACACACTATACAGGTGAGACATTATACAGGTGACAAACTATACAGGTGACACACTATACAGGTGACACACTTTACAGGTGACACACTATACCGGTGACACACTATACAGGTGACATGTTATTCAGGTGACACACTTTACAGGTGACACACTATACAGGTGACACACTATACAGGTGACACATTATACAGGTGACACACTTTACAGGTGACACACTATACAGGTGACACATTGTACAGGTGACACACTATACAGGTGACACATTATACAGGTGACAAACTATACAGGTGACACACTATACAGGTGACACATCATACAGGTGACACACTATACAGGTGACACATCATACAGGTGACACACTTTACAGGTGACACATTGTACAGGTGACACACTTTACAGGTGACACACTATACAGGTGACACATTGTACAGGTGACACACTTTACAGGTGACACACTTTACAGGTGACACACTATACAGGTGAGACATTATACAGGTGACAAACTATACAGGTGACACACTTTACAGGTGACACATTATACAGGTGACACACTTTACAGGTGACACACTTTACAGGTGACACATTGTACACGTGACACACTTTACAGGTGACACACTTTACAGGTGACACATTGTACAGGTGACACACTTTACAGGTGACACATTGTACAGGTGACACACTTTACAGGTGACACACTTTACAGGTGACACACTATACAGGTGACACATTGTACAGGTGACACACTTTACAGGTGACACATTGTACAGGTGACACACTTTACAGGTGACACATTGTACAGGTGACACACTTTACAGGTGAGGCACTTTACAGGTGACACACTTTACAGGTGACACACTATACAGGTGACACACTATACAGGTGACACATTGTACAGGTGACACACTTTACAGGTGACACACTTTACAGGTGACACACTTTACAGGTGACACACTTTACAGGTGACATGTTATACAGGTGACACACTATACAGGTGACACACTATACAGGTGACACACTATACAGGTGACACATTGTACAGGTGACACACTTTACAGGTGACACATTGTACACGTGACACACTTTACAGGTGACACACTTTACAGGTGACACATCATACAGGTGACACACTTTATAGGTGACACATTGTACAGGTGACACACTTTACAGGTGACACACTATACCGGTGACACATCATACAGGTGACACACTTTACAGGTGACACATTGTACAGGTGACACACTATACAGGTGACACACTTTACAGGTGACACATTGTACAGGTGACACACTTTACAGGTGACACAGCAGCTCACAGGTTTCAGATCTGATGGGTTTGTATTTGCTGTCTGATGCTTCAGCTTCACTCCTGCTGCTGAGTTTCTTCCTTCCTCTGATCATGACATTGAATCTGCTTCCTCGCTCTGTGTCTGTCAGGCTCATCTGCTCAGTCTGTTCGATAACGTTAACAGAGTTGTTTTCAATGAGAAAATCTACGACCAGATGATCAGTTTCCAGTCTCAAGAAGGAGAAACTGTGGAGCTGAGGCAGCCAGTCCTGGCACAGGTAATCTCACCTCCACATGGAGACCTCCCAGTAAGTTCCCCGTTACTTTTCCCTTAAACTGAATCCTTTTATCAATCAGCATCTCACCTCCACTTGCAGGGGAATGTGGAGGTGTGGTTAGGAGAGCTGCTAGCTGGGGTGAGGGGAACCCTCCATGCTATCATCCGTCAGGCTTACCTGGCCATCTGTGACTCCGCCTTTAAGCTTCTGGAGTTCCAGTCGGCGTTCCCGGCTCAGATTGGCCTGCTAGGAATCCAGATGATCTGGACTAGAGATGCAGAAGAAGCACTCGTCCTCAGCAAGTCTGACAAGAAGGTGCTTTTATGCCTCAATTTCAGCCAAACGTGACCATATTTATGTAAGAGGGTGGAGATCTAAAGTTATCCAGTAATGCTGCATCACTTTGACTGTGTCTGCTACGTCGTAATCTACGGTAATGTCCAACACAAACCACAGAATCACCCTCACTGAAACTATTGTTGGACAGTCAATTAACATCACAGCAGCCACATTATTGGTCAGATAATTGCTCTGAATATGCTTCCTACAGACTCTCAGTTAAAACTCAAGTCTACAGCAGAAAGAAACAGTCAGTAATTACGGCTTGAATTTATGCAGAATTAAGAGATTGGCTCTTTTAGTAACAAGTCGATGCCGTTTCTTTGTGTTCATCATGTTCTCTCTTCCACTTTTCAGGTAAGTGGGTTTTGTTTTAATTGTGTTTCAGTCAGAATCCAGTTAACACAACCAAACCCCGTAGCTGGGTAACCAAACCAACCCTCCAAGTTGGTTGGTACAAAAAGAAAAGGAAAACTGTGGTTTGGGTCAAAAGGCTACACTCAAGCCCGTGTGGGACAGAAGAGTCTTGAGGCAACTTCTGTTGTGATTTGGAGCTCTCTAAATAAAATAAGATAGAATATAATTAAGGCTATGGTGATTATTTACAGGGTGTTATCGTGTTATTCTTCTCTCCTGACTGCCCCCATCTTATTGGTTGTCAGATCATGCAAACGACCAATCAGAAGTTCCTGAACCTCCTCAATGAGCTCATCGACATGACGACTCGAGAGCTGAGCAGGAACGAGAGGACCAAATATGAGACGCTGATCACCATCCACGTCCACCAGAGAGACCTTTTCGATGATCTGGTGAACAAAAGAGCAAACATATAAACAAACATCTAAATACTTTTGATAGTGTCTGTCAGAGTGGGTCATATGACTTTGTGTTTGTCAGGTGAGGATGAACGTGCGGTCGGCTTCAGACTTTGAATGGCAGAAACAGTCGAGGTTTTACTTCCTGGAGGAGACGGACAGATGTGTCATCCAGATCACAGATGTGGAGTTCAGTTACTGTAATGAATACCTGGGCTGCACAGACAGGCTGGTCATCACCCCGCTGACAGACAGGTACACAAACTCCAGCCTCACTGACTGACGCCTGTGGACTGACTGATTCACAAACACTGAACATCTGTGCAGGTGTTACATCACTCTGTCCCAGGCTCTGGGGATGAGTATGGGCGGAGCTCCGGCCGGACCAGCAGGAACAGGTAATGTGTGTGTGTGTGTGCGTGTGCGTGTGCGTGTGTGTGTGTGTGTGTGTGTGTGTGCGTGTGTGTGTGCGTGTGTGTGTGTGTGTAAAATGAAGCTGAACTCTTGCATGCTGCTGTGGTTGTGTGTGTGTGTGTGTGTGTGTGTGTGTGTGTGTGTGTGTGTGTGCGTGTGTGTGTGTGTGTGTGTGTGTGTGTGTGTGTGTGTGTAAAATGAAGCTGAACTCTTGCATGCTGCTGTGGTTGTGTGTGTGTGTGTGTGTGTGTGTGTGTGTGTGTGTGTGTGTGTGTGTGTGTGTGTGTGTGTGTGTGTGTGTGCGTGTGCGTGTGTGTGTGTGTGTGTGTGTGTGCGTGTGTGTGTGTGTGTAAAATGAAGCTGAACTCTTGCATGCTGCTGTGGTTGTGTGTGTGTGTGTGTTTGTTTGCAGGTAAAACGGAGACCACTAAAGACATGGGTCGCTGTCTGGGGAAGTATGTGGTGGTCTTTAACTGTTCGGACCAGATGGACTACAGAGGACTGGGACGCATCTACAAAGGTGTGTGAGTGTGTGGATGGTGGACACTGGAAATATTGTCCTGCTGTTGTCACCATCTTATCAACCCACTGAGTAGAAGAGAGGTTAGTCAACCACGAGGCCCGGCCCGCTCTGACAGGACAGGGCTCTGCAGAGGTTCACTACCTAACATGGACCCACAGCCGTTGTCTGTGGTATCTGGGAACCTGGAACAAATGTTCATTAGCTGTTCTTAAATACAGAGCCATGCCAGAGCTGCAGATCCTCATGAAGACATGTTTCTCCTGAGTCAGAGACAAAAGTGTGGAAGTCAGTGGAGGCCAGTCGCCCACTCTTCTAGGATACATAACTCTGTATGATACATAAGTCACAGCATCTTCTTAACATGTAATAAACATGTGATCGTTCCATCAAAATGCTGATCTGAAAGTGCAGTGCTGTGTCTGCAGGTCTGGCTCAGTCCGGAGCCTGGGGCTGCTTCGATGAGTTTAACCGCATCGAGCTGCCGGTGCTTTCTGTCGCCGCCCAGCAGATCTACATCGTGCTGCAGTGTAAGAAGAACAAGAAGAAGCAGTTCGTCTTCACCGACGGAGATGTGGTCGACATGGATCCCGAGTTCGGCATCTTCCTCACCATGGTACCTCTGATCTAATGAACACTCTGGTGTTAGTATAAGTCAACGATAAATCATCAGAGTCACTCTGCATATGAAACAATGCACTGTTCAGTATTCAGTGTTCTTTAGGTGAGCAGTTGTGGATACATGAAGGCAGCTCAGTAACTACAGTGAGCCACAGGTCCAGCACTGAGCGTGCTGATGTTCCTCCGCTCAGAAAGTTCTAGTAACTTCTCGGTTTTCCAGAATCCCGGTTACGCCGGCCGTCAGGAGCTGCCTGAAAACCTGAAGATTCAGTTCCGCACGGTAGCCATGATGGTCCCGGACCGAGCCATCATCATGAGGGTTAAATTGGCCAGTGCTGGTTTCCGTGACAACCAGGTCCTAAGCAGGAAGTTCTACACCCTCTACAAACTGTGTGAGGAGCAGCTGTCCAAACAGGTGGGTGATCCTGCAGCTGTAACCACCACACATCCTGTCCTTCTTGATGGATTTTCTCATTTCTCCGTTGCCCTTCTTTGTAAACTGTTACTCATGCATGTAGTTATATTATTATTTATACTTCTCTGGTCTTTCTTACCAGGTCCATTATGATTTCGGTCTGAGGAACATTTTGTCGGTTTTGAGGACGTTGGGAGCTGTGAAGCGATCTAACCCGTCAGAACCAGAGAAGACCGTGGTGATGAGGGTCCTGAGGGACATGAACCTCTCCAAACTGGTGTGTGTGTTAGTAATAAATGCAGAAATTAGACTTTATGTTTAAAGTTTTCATTTCATTATTATCAGACTGTTAGAGTTGCCCACTAGGGGGAGCCCTTGTCCTTGCCACAGTCAGCCATCCTGATTGCTTGTGTGACTTTCTGCAGGTGGACGAGGACGAGCCTCTGTTTATGAGTCTGATCAATGACCTGTTTCCTGGCATTGGTACGTTTCTTTCACATAACACTGAAACACACTAGCAGAGGCTCCATGAGTACACGACGGCTCTCATACTGTGTGCTTTTCCTTCATCCCCCTCTGCAGTTCTGGATAAAGCCGGTTATCCAGACTTGGAGTTGGCCATCTTTAATCAGGCTCAGCAGGCCGGTCTGATCCCTCACCAGCCCTGGATCCTCAAACTGGTCCAGCTCTATGAGACGCAGAGAGTCCGACATGGTGAAGATCACAATTATCTGGACGCAGTGACACATTAATTAGTCTTTCTCGTCTCGCCACTCAGCTTCATTTACAGTTCCAGTGTAAATTAGTGGAAAGCAGGCTCAACATGAGTTTCTATGGTCATTAAACACATAAACTGCACGTTTAGACTCATCAGTCTAATGTGATTACAAAGTGCTGCAAAGGTTTGCTAACTTTCTCCTCAACATGAGGTTTAAACAGTTTTGAGTGCAGGTTATTATTCTACATGTACACAGAGTTTCACAACATTATAGCTCCATTAACGCTGTTAAACACAACACTAACACAATCTGTCTTTGGCTGCTGTCACAACAACATAACCCACACTTACTGTGGATATAGTAACAGGATATTACACACTTAGAAACCAACAGCTTATTAAAAACGTAAATGTTATATAATATAATTTGGTATATAAAAGTTTAAAAAGCTTCTGGTGCACAAATCTTTATTTTATATACAACCAGTGTTCAGTAATGCTGAGGTCACAGACACACTGATGGCAATGCTAAAGAGTCTTCAGCACACATGGGAGTCGAGCTGTCCTGTGCTCGTGCAGGTATGATGACGCTGGGTCCGAGCGGTGCTGGGAAGACGGCGTGCGTCCACACGCTGATGAAGGCCATGTCTGAGTGCGGCTCGCCCCACCGAGAGATGAGGATGAACCCGAAAGCCATCACAGCCTCGCAGATGTTCGGCATGCTGGACGTGACCACCAACGACTGGACGGACGGCATTTTCTCCACACTGTGGAGGAAAACTCTGAAAGGCAAAAAGGTTGATGGAAGCTCAACATGTTCCCTACATTCATGATGCTCCAGTGCAGATGTATATGTACGTGTGTGTGTGTGTGTGTCAGGGGGAATACATCTGGATTGTGCTGGATGGTCCGGTTGATGCCATCTGGATCGAGAATCTGAACTCTGTTTTAGACGACAACAAAACTCTGACGCTGGCGAATGGCGATCGAATCCCCATGGCTCCCTGCTGCAAGGTCAAAGCAAAACAAACAAAGCTCACCTCACTTCAGCCAGACAGTCACTGTGGTGCAGTTTGACATAATCCACAAACATCATGATCAGAAACCGGAGATGCATCGAGGTCAAGTCAGCCCATATATTTTATATTCTTCCCTCAGATTGTCTTTGAGCCCCACAACATCGACAACGCCTCCCCAGCCACCGTGTCCAGGAACGGGATGGTGTTCATGAGCTCGTCAGTGCTCAGCTGGAGGCCCGTCCTGCAGGCCTGGTTACAGAAACTAGCAGAGCAGCAGGCCAGCGCTCTGAAACACTGCTTCGACTGCTGCTACCAGGTGAGAGCCGCCGGGACACAATTAGACTTATTTATCACTTTAATATTGATAAGATGTTACCACCTGGTCAAACATACACAACAAAGGAGCGGCAAAGCAGTGAACCATAAAATAACCTCATCTGAACTCAGCAAACAAGGATCAAAGCTTCTTTATTCAATTCTCTTCAGTTTTATTTATGTAGCACCAATTCACAACAACTATCACCTCCAAGCACTTTGTGTTGTCGGCCACAGACTCTCCAATATTACACAAAAGAAGGAGAAATGAGGAGAAGCAAGTGCACTGTGACTCAAACTGGTCCCAGCACAGCACCCTGATGAGCTCCATAATTAATCATAGTGAACTTGACATGAACACTGCTATAGACAACAAACAGGTTTTCTTACCCGCTGTAAACACGTTTATTTCTGCTGTAACGTTGGACATGTTACCCTGTTACCCCATCCACCTCTGGTGGCTGTTAGAGGAACTGCAGTTTTTAGCACTTGACCATTAAAGTCTGTTCAGTTTGGTGTTTATCGCTTGTTTCCAGCACCCATGTAGCCAAACATCAGTTACTGATGACGTTGTAAGCAGAGATTAGAAATGCATCAACCTTGAAGGTAAAGAAATCATCAGACAGCAGGAAAGCTAAAGGTTAGTTTTGTATTCTTCTGTTTCAGGACTTGTTGGACTTTGTCTTCACTGCTGTGTCCGCTAAGATGCAGGTGCTGGAGTGTATGTACATCAAACAGACTATTGACCTGCTGCAGGTAGGACACAGCAGTAAAACACCAGAAAAACTAGAATCTGAGTCTTCCAAGTTCTTGTTGCCCTTTTGTTTGGTTATTTTTCATATTTGTGCTTTCAGGGTTTGCTCCCAGCAGCGCAGGACAAACAGGGTGGCCATGATCATGTGGGACGCATGTTTGTCTTTGCGGTCATGTGGTCTCTGGGTGCACTGCTGGAGCTGGATGACAGAGCCAAGATGGAGGCCTTCCTGAAGGTGTGTGAAAGTTTTCTTTGACTCCATAACAAACCTCGTTTTCAAATCAAATGAACCCGTAGTGTGAATATTTACCGTCTACAGAGGAGGGATTACTCACCTTTACCCGCCCCCACCCTTAAGAAGAGGGCTAGGATTAAGGCTATGACCTACCCACGGTCCTGGTCAGGTTCTCGTACCACTTTTCCAACACACTGACGTCTGCTCCTAATCTAGAACAGTTTCACCATTTTATGCTAAAAGAAAAAAAGTTTGCAGTACAACCTTGGACCCAGTGACACCAGTGCCATTTGAAGAGCCTGTCACATTAGAAAGAAAATGATCCCCAGTTCACAGACTGATGATCAGCACCCACTTTATTAAGTTTAGATACCAAACCAATCAAACTTTGACTGGTTCCAAGCAAAAAGGTAAAAGACGTCTAACAAAGGGTCACTCATCTGGAAATGAGTCAGTCCAGCTCTGTTATCACAATCCTGAACACCACGGCCTCCACGGCTGGAGCAAACGAGTCACATGGGACTTTAAAAAAGGTTTTTAAAGGATATATCTGGTTGGAAATGTTTATAAATATTCCATTTGAGTTGAAAGGTGTTTTTGTTTTTGTCTCAAAGGCCCACAGCTCATCTCTGGACCTGCCACCCACTCTGGACAACCAGACCATGTTTGAGTTCACCGTCAGTGAGCAGGGAGACTGGGAGCACTGGTCCAACAAGGTGAGAGGACTCTATGTTTCTCCTGAGTGTTAATCACAGAGAATGAAGTCAGCATGCTGCATGCATGTCCTGTGTTTATGGTTCTGATCAGGTCCCAGAGTATGTCTACCCCAAAGACCACGTCCCTGACTACTCGTCCATCCTGGTTCCCAACGTAGACAACGTGAGGACGGACTTCCTGATGCAGACCATCATGAAGCAGAGGAAGGCCGTGCTGCTGATCGGAGAGCAAGGAACAGCCAAGACCGTCATGATTAAAGTAAGAGTGCGCTCAACCGTTCCCCAGCACAGGCTAGCACAGGCTACAGCATGCAGCTTGCTCTCTGGCTCCCCCTGTAGGGCTACACTGGAAAGCTCGACCCAGAGCTCCACCTCAGTAAGACGGTGAACTTCTCTTCGGCCACGCTGCCCGGCATGTTCCAGAGGACGCTCGAGAGCTACATCGACAAACGCATGGGCACCACCTACGGGCCGCCGGCCGGACGCAGGATGACCGTCTTCATAGACGACATCAACATGCCCGTAATCAACGAATGGGGCGACCAGGTGGGCTTCAGGCTCTCTGTGATTGGTCAAACCTTTGCTAGCTTACCTCTTTGTTTCTCAGAGAATAACCTCCACATCACAAATAACCAATCAGCTCAGTTTTCCCCCACCCTGTTCTCTTTGATATGCATGTAACCAATCAGATTATTGTATCTCTGACACGCCCCCACATCTCACTCAGATAACCAATGAGATTGTGCGTCAGCTGATGGAGCAGGGAGGTTTCTACAGCCTGGATCGTCCAGGAGAGTTCATCACTGTGGTGGATGTTCAGGTGAAGTTTGGCTGTGGTTGGAGCGCTGTGGCACATTCTGGATGTTTCCATGATGACAGGCTGATGAAGGTTGCTGTGACCAAAGGCAGGAGGACGCTACAGATATACTGGAGTATTACAGCTGTACCTAATGAAGTGGAGGGAAATATATGAAGTGAACACAAACCTGTTGGTTTGAGGGATTCCTTCAAAAGTTTTAAATCATAAACAGAGAGATGATGATGATGTTAGATCATCTGCTCTGTGACTGACTGATGTGTGTAATGATGTTTACCAGCTGGTGGCAGCCATGATTCACCCCGGCGGCGGTCGGAACGACATCCCTCAGCGTCTAAAGCGCCAGTTCTCCATCTTTAACTGCACGCTGCCCTCCAACTCCTCCATCGATAAGATCTTTGGCACTGTGGCTCAGGGCTACTTCTGCCCAGAGAGAGGCTTCCCCGGCCCGGTGTGCCAGCTCGCCGCCGCCCTCGTCCCCACCACCAGGCGGGTGTGGCAGGCCGTGAAGGCGAAGGTTTGTTTTTTAAATAAGATCAAATCGGATCTTCAGAATAAAAGAAGGCTAAAATGTATTTAATTCTTTATAAACAGTCATTAAAAAATTATATTTAAAGCAGCTGATGATCACTGAAAGATCCCCTCTGAGCTTTTCTCAGGTTAATTCTCATATATTAGGAGGACATGAGGAGGGACTTTGTTCTAATCAGGATAATCAATACTTGATAATCAAAGTCATCATCAAACTTCATCCAGGATGTATCAGATCTCTGCTCGTGATTAGTTCACCCCTTCATTTAATGATGATGGAGATTAAATGTCTCTGCTTTTCATTTGAAGGTCACATTTACTGCACAGATTCAGATTTTCAAACACCTGATGCCAATTTTGTCACGTGAAGGCAAGATAGGAGACATAACACAGTGTGAGATGAGGGAGGAAACAGGGCTTAAATCCACATAGGGAGCAACCAGGGAGACAGGAGGGAAACACAGCTGGACAAATCAGGGCTGACGACACGAGGAGGCAGAAGCAGACACGTTGAAAGAGTCTCGTGTTAAAGTAAAAGAGGAAATGTTCCGGTCACTGGGGGACTCAAATGCAGGACTCCTTGCTCAGAGGAAGAACAGAAGGCTTTTCCTCACAAACACCAGGTGAAATGTGTGACAGGGACTCAGTGCTCTATACAAGCGTGCGGGGATCAGGGCTCCAGGGAATCCACGGGGAAAAGCAGGGCAACACTCTCACTCCTCTTCACCAGTCATTCACTCCTCTCTCGCAGCAGAAACTCCGTAGGGAACGAGAGCAGGTCCAGGGGGTCTGTACACAGGAAACAAAAGCGTTAACACAAGAAGCTGAGACGCGGGAACTAGACTGTAGTGTCCAAGCCGGGATTTCACCGACACAGGTCAAGCAACGATCCAGCGAAGAGCAGCCTGGCTTCTTCCCTTTAGTAGAGGCCAGTTAATGAGACGCAGGTGTTGATCATCTCCCAGGTATGTAGGCCAAAGGCGGAGCCCACAATGAGCTCCGCCCAGGCGACAGAGGGAGAGAAAAAGAACACAAAGCAGAACTTCTCAGGAAACAACACAGACGCAGCCTCGACGAGGGGAGACAGAGCAGCTATGGACACAGAAACCATAGACAGAGAACTCTAACAAAGAAAGCAAAAGACCAGAAATGATCAATAATAATGTCAAACTGCAAACTCTGGCTCGACGACCCAGGCACCCGAACAAATTTGACATGTTGATGAGTTTTGAGAATTGTAACTTTGCTTGACTTGATTTTGTTTGCATTCAGTCTGTGGATGTTTCTCACATGTGATCTTCTCTCTCCTCAGATGTTACCGTCTCCTGCAAAGTTTCACTACATCTTCAACCTGCGTGACCTCAGCAGAATCTGGCAGGTAGGAAAAATCACACATGGTTTTATTTCTTCTTCTTTTAATCCTGAATAAACGTTTTGTCCTTTTTCCTGAGACTTTCTCACTCGTACATTTATCCTGAAGCAACTCTCTGACCCGGCGATGTGAACGAGTCCCTGTGTGTTTCAGGGGATCCTCACGGTGAAGTCAGAGGTGTGTCAGAGCTCTGAGCTCCTCTCCGCTCTCTTCCATCACGAGTGCTGCAGAGCGATCGCCGATCGATTCGTCGACAGCGGCGACAGACGAGCGTTCGGCAGCATCGTGGAGGCGGTGTGTGCGCTCTGACATCAGCACTGTGGCCCTCAGTCACAGCTTACAGAACAGAAAGAACATGACCTGCTGCTTGTTTTGGCAAAGACTGAGTTTCCTTTTTACACTAAATAACTCAATAAATGTTAATAATACTGAAAACTAAGAGAAGGGGATTTCTGGGAGATATAGTTGATCCATTTTTAGGAAATTTGCTGGTCAAATAAAAGATTCCAAACTGGCAGCTTCATTAACCCTGGACGTGACAATAAATGATCACAATCTCAAATATTTTGTTCTTTTACAGATGATTTGCTACCAGAGGAGCTTTGCATGAGTCACAGTTCAGAATAATCTTTATTTCTCTGATATCAGGCTTTTGTTCAGGAATGAAATCAGCAGCTATATGAACGTCATCGTTACATCTTTGGTCGGCTTCTGCCGGCTCTCGTGTTGCGTCTTTGTCACCCTTTGTGTTCTGTGTTTGTCTCTTTTTGTGTGTCTGCTTTTACTTCCTGTCGTTGTGTTTTTCTCGCCCTGATTGTTTCCACCTGACTCTGTGTTCAGTCATGTGTTTTACTTCCTGCTTCAGTTTTTTTGGTTTGATTCACGTTTTCTGTGTAAAACTGAATTTTCAGTGCAAAATAAAAACATTGTTGTCCAATAAACGTCTCTGGAATCAGAGCCGACAGATTAAAGATGATACAGGAACTTATCTCATGAGACAACAACAACTTTTTATTTAAAGTGCGGCACAAACAGCAGTGAGTAAATCTTCTGGACTGTATCTAACGCTCCTCTCCCTCAGGTCACAGTGGAGGATCATGGGAGAGCTCTGACTGAGCATGCTCAGTGGAACAGCTGCTTTGTGGACTTCCTGCGTGAAGCCCCGGAGGCGACGGGAGATGAACCTGAAGACGCTGAGCTGGAGGCTCCGAAGGTCTCAGAATCTGATTTATTTTAATATTTTTATTAAAGTGAATTTTTTATTTAGTCGTAAGTTAAATAAAGTCCAGCAAAAATGAAAAGAGACTAAAGCTGTGTCCCAAAACGCCGGCTGCATCCTCCGGAGGCTGCGTTCGAAGGCCGATTACGTCACCGCCAGGCAGCGAAGGCTGTCCCAATTCGTCGACTCCTTCAAATGCGGCCTTCACTAAAGGATGGGTCGGGTTTGTCCTTCGTGGCCCACCATATCCCAGAATTCATAGCGCGGCCCAGCCAATTCCAGTTTCCAACAATGGCGGCCGCTGAGTTTTAATATTACTCTAATTAATCCACGTAGACCGCGAAGGCCGGGTCCTCCGAAGGATGGAGCCGACGTTTTGGGACACAGCTAAAGTCTTCAGGTCCCTCAGTGTTGGATAGTTTTCTGATGGTTTCTAAGTGTGGACACTGATATGATTGACAGGTGTACGAGCCAATCCCATCGCTGGACCTTCTGGCAGAGCGGCTGTCGGCTTTTCAGCAGCAGTACAACGAGGCGGTGAGAGGCGGAGCCATGGATCTGGTCTTCTTCAAGGTGATGATGACTCCTGTCACACTCTTCACCATGACCTTTGTTCATATCAGCTGATGGTGACCCTCTGTGTGTGGTCCAACGACAGGACGCGATGATCCACCTGATGAGGATCTCACGCATCCTGAGGACGCCACAAGGAAACGCCCTGCTGGTCGGGGTGGGCGGGTCGGGGAAGCAGAGCCTGACGAGGCTCGCGTCATTCATCGCAGGATACCAAACCTTCCAGATCACACTGAGCAGGTGAGTGCTTCCTGCGATTCATCGTGACCAACGGAAAATAAACACAAATAAGTCAGGTGTGAAAAACAAACTCACTGGGCAGAAGTCTAAACAGGTGGTGGGACACAGTCTCAGTGACCCACCACTCGTCCAATCAGCACTCGTCCAATCACCACTCGTCCAATCACCACTCGTCCAATCATCATCCAGTGTCCCTCATCCACAAGATATTCACACTCCTCCCTTTCAGGCAGAACTCCTCACAAACCCGCAGAAGAAAGTCTGTAAATGAAGTTCTGTGATAAACTATTTTATTTATATAGCAGCAAATTAAACAACAGCCGCCTCACTGTGTTTATACTGTAAGATAAAGACCCTACAATAACACCACCAATCAGACGACCCCCTGTGAACAAGCACTTGGTGACAGTGGGAAGGAAAAACTCCCTTTTAACAGGAAGAAAAGAAGCAGAACCAGGCTCAGGGAGGGGCGGGGCCATCTGCCACCACCTGTTGGGGGTGACGGAGGAAGACATTCATTTACTTTTCGAACATTCTGCCCCCAACAAATATTTAACACAATAAAAAGGAATTTTCTTCCTGCTGAAAGGGAGTTTTTCCTTCAGAGGGGATCGTCTGAGTGTTGGGGTTTCTCTGTGTTACTTACAGTATAAGAGTGTGTGTGTGTGTGTGTGTGTGTGTGTGTGTGTGTGTGTGTGTGTGTGCGTGCGTGCGTGTGTGTGTGTGTGTGTGTGCTGCAGGTCGTACGGCAGCAGTAACCTGCTGGAGGATCTGAAGTCTCTGTATCGGATCGCCGGTCAGCGCGGGAAAGGCGTCACCTTCCTGTTCAGCGACAATGACATCAAAGAAGAAGCCTTCCTGGGTGCCAACGATCAGCTGACAGCTTTGATGATTCACAGATGATGAAACTCGCTCACGTCTTTAGTTTGCACCACAGCAGAACAAACATCAGCTCAAACTTTATCTGTTCATGTGAATCATCATGTGAAATCTGAATGTAAAAGGAGGAAAACTGATTTTTTTACACTGTTTGTTTGTCCTGCTGATGGAAGCAAAGGTCAGAGGTCAGGAGGTCATGGGGTCAGGGCCCGTCTTGTTTTCTGACTCCTGTCTCCTCTCCTGCAGAATACATGAACAACGTCCTGGCGAGCGGTGAAGTTTCCAACCTGTTTGCTCGAGACGAGCTGGATGACATCACTCAGGACCTGATTCCCGTGATGAAGCGCCAGCATCCTCGCCGCCCGCCAACGCCTGAGAACCTCTACGACTTTTTCCTGTCCCGCGTGCGGAGCAACCTCCACGTGGTCCTCTGTTTCTCGCCTGTCGGGGAGAAGTTCCGCTCTCGTGCCTTAAAGGTGCGGCGAGGACTCAGGTTCACTGGTCACATGACCCTGATGATGATGTAAGCTGGTGGAGCCAAAGGCTCCGTCCTCCTAAGAATTACTGTTTCTCATCAGTGACCTTTGACCTCTGCCCTGAACAGTTCCCAGGTCTGATTTCCGGCTGCACAGTGGACTGGTTCCAGCGTTGGCCTCAGGACGCCCTCATCGCTGTATCGCATCACTTCCTGTCTCAGTACCAGGACCTCCGCTGCTCAGAGGACGTCAAGCAAAGCATTGTGGTTACCATGGGAACCTTCCAGGTAGCGCTCCCACAATAATCTGGTAGCTTATAATTGCCAGCGTATTGAACGGACTGATCACATGACCGAGATGTTCACAGGACCTGGTGGCAGAGAAGTGTGGCGAGTATTTCGAGCGTTTCCGCCGCCTGACGTTTGTGACGCCAAAGTCCTACCTGTCCTTCATCGACAGCTACAAGCTGGTCTACACGGAGAAGATCGCTCACGTCGGCACGCTGGCCGAGCGCATGCAGACAGGTGAGCATGGTTTGATGGGAGGGGCTAAACCGTCCTGTACTTCCTGTCTCAGGTGGAGATGGAGAGGCGAGCTGATGCTGCGCATGCTTGTGTTGCTTCCTGCAGGTCTCTGTAAACTGATGGAGGCGGAGCAGTCGGTGTCTCAGCTCTCTGAGGAGCTGCTGGTGAAGGAGAAGGAGCTCGCCGTCGCCTCCCAGAGGGCAGACCAGGTCCTGCAGGAGGTCACGGCCAAAGCTCAGGCTGCCGAAAAGGTGAAAAAACATGTTTCCTGTTAGCGAGCGAGACGAATCTGAAAGGTTTATTAGCCTGTTATGAAACATAAAGCTAACGTGAAGGAGCCTCAGACGCTGTTTGTCATCATGTTACTGAACAGAAGTGCAGAGCGACGAGGAAACAACATGTGAAACGTTGAGTGATGGTCACAGATGAGTCTGACTCAGGGGTGAACCTCTGACGTCCTCCGTTTGTGCTACACAGTCTTCATTGGCATTTTTCTTTTAATTACATGTAAACCGGGAGCTTTACAAGTGGGCGGAGTCAGCTAGCTGTTTAATGCCCCGCTCTGTGGTTACAGGTGAAGCAGCAGGTGCAGAAGGTGAAGGATAAAGCTCAGCTCATCGTGGACGAGATCGAAGCCGATAAAATGGCAGCAGAGTCCAAACTGGAGGCTGCGAAACCGGCTCTGCAGGCTGCTGAGGCTGCCCTACAGGTTACACTCAGTCCTCCATTGTATTTACACGTCCTCCACAGAGCGCTCAGGTCAGAGCGACATAAGCTTCATCAGCAGATGGCGAGCGGCCGTGTGTCCGTCTGTTTGCTGTGACCACGTGGACTCGTCCACTGAGTCTTTACATGACTTTACACGAGCTTCAGGTGGGCGACAACAGAAGAGTCAAAGCTTCACTGGCTGCAATTTGACTCAAACTAAAGTAAAAACTGAAATAAAAGAAGAAGACGATCACAGAGAAACAATCTTAGCTGAAACGTCCGTGTGTGCTCACAGGTTTGAGGCCGTGTTCACTCATGTACACACTCAGTGTGTCTGCATGACAGTAAACAGAGCTGGTCCTGTGACACCGGCTCACAGTTACATCTGTGTTACAATAATAATACAAAGAACAAAAAGCAGCTGAAACTGTCCGTCCATGTTCTGCTGCTTCTCAGCAGCCACCTCCAAACCAGAGCAGCACCTGCATCCCTCAGGTGATGGAGCAGGCCGCCTCCGTCCGCATGTTGAACGATGATAATGATAGAGTGTGTGATGGTGTCAGTGAGACTGGTCACCAGTGTCAGCTTCAATGGTGCAGTGTGTACTGGGTGGTAGTCCCACAGTGGAGGGCCCAGTGGACCGCTCTGAAACTAAGCTGCTAAAATCTGACCTGTAAAGTAAAAGCATGTGAAGCCGGCTCTGAGCACCGTTCATGAGAAAACCTCAGAGACCATCAAAGCTCCTGCAGACAAACAACAAGCGTTAAACGACCTGCCTGCATGTTTCTACCACACGCTGTCCTCCTGTGGTCTGAGTGAAGCTCAGACTCACATGTTGTCCCCGTGTGCTGTTTGCTCGTCATCATCATGTGTCACGTGTTCAGCCTCAGAGTTTGTCTCTGTGTGCAGACCATCAAACCAGCAGACATCTCCACGGTGAGGAAGCTGCAGAAGCCTCCTCATCTCATCATGAGGATCATGGACGCCGTGCTGCTGCTGTTCCAGAGAAAGGTCACAGTCGGAGCCTGAAACGTTCCCTCAGAGTCACGACATGCTTTATAAATCTGTCATCTTTCTCAGGTCGACGCCGTGACCTCTGACCCCGAACGACCTTGTCCCAGACCGTCGTGGGCCGAGGCGATGAAGCTGATGCAGAACTCGGCCTTCCTCAGCACCCTGCTCAACTTCAGCAAGGTCACACACACACACACACACACACACACACACACACACACACACACACACACACACACACACACACACACACACACAGACACACACACACACACACACACACACACACACACACACACACACACACACACACACACACACACACACAGACACACACACAGACACACACACACACACACACACACACACACACACAGACACACACACACACACACACACACACACACACACACACACACACACACACACTGGTATTATTATACTTGTTCCAGCTGCAGCATAAACCTGAGTTTGAATGAGTCCTCATGTTGATGAAGCTTCACTCTTTTGAAGAAGTGACAGATGGACACACGCTGACCTCACACACTCAGATGTGTGTGTTTGTGTGTGTGTGTGTGTGTGTCTGTGTGTGTGTGTGTGTGTGTGTGTGTGTGTGTGTTTGTGTGTGTGTGTGTGTGTGTGTGTGTGTGTGTGTGTGTGTGTGTGTGTCTGTGTGTGTGTGTGTGTGTGTGTGTGTGTGTGTGTGTGTGTGTGTGTGTGTGTGTGTGTGTGTGTGTGTGTGTGTCAGGGGAAACTCCCCTCTCATGTTCTCATCACCTGCTGTCTCTCTCCGTGTGTCACATACCTGCTAAGCTGTGGATCTCTGAGGCCGGCGCTCCGCCTGGAGAACCTCGGAGCGTCAGCTGATCCACCCGTCTGCTCTCTGTCATTATAAAGTCCTGCTTTATGTTTATGTTTATATTCTTATATTATCATAAGATTCTGTTTACTTTGACATGATCATGATAAAACATAAAGACAGGAAATGCAGCAAGAAGCCAAACAGACATCCCGCTGCAGTAAAATGATTCTAAGTTTGTAGATCTGCACTGAGAGCAGATTTCATGAACGCATGAACTGAGGTGATGTTTGACGTCTCGGTGCTGCAGGACTCCATCACAGAGGAGGTGGTGGAGCTGCTCGCTCCTTACCTCCACATGGACGACTACAACATGGAGACGGCCAAGAGGATCTGTGGAAACGTGGCGGGGCTCTGCTCCTGGGCTCAGGCCATGGTCGACTTCTTCAGCATCAACAAGGAGGTTCTTCCTCTGAAGGTGAACGCAGAGCTGTCAGTATCCATGAGAGCAGGAGCCAGCCTGACACAGGCGCTCATTATTGTGTGTGTGTGTGCGCGCAGGCTAACCTGGCCATGCAGGAGGCCCGTCTGCTGGTGGCTCAGGCTGAACTCACTAAGGCTCAGGAACAGCTGGATGCTAAACAGCTGGAGCTGGACGCGGTGCAGGTAACGTGTGTTTGTGTTCCCGCTCTCAGACTGTCGTCTTTAATAAAGACTGAACTGAAGTCAGTCAAATCTCTAATCATGAGGCAGTTTCCTGTTTCACTGTCACTGCAGGTTTTCGACTCTCTTCAGTTTTATTTGGGTTCAAAGTCTTGTAGAGTTTCTGTGCACAGCAGCATTTCAGCCTTCCTCTGTTTTGGTGGTTAAACAGCAGCCGTAACAAGAAATGAGGGAAAATACAAACTTCATGGTCACTGGTTTGTTGTTTTTATGGTTTATTGAGTATTGAACCTTCTGAGAATCATGACCATCTGTAGTTTGGCAGTTTGCCATCAGTTAAATCTGTCTTTGTGAAACTCGTTCAGTCATTTGGACACTTTAGGTTTTCGTCTCCACTCATTTGGCTCTCTCTTCTTTTTGCACTGATAACATTTTAATCGATCATTATGTTTAAAGTTTGGTAAATGTGTCTGATCTGGACCTTCAGGCGCTTTACGACGCTGCCATGAAGGAGAAGCAGGACCTGGAGGATGACGCCCAGTCCTGCCGCCGGAAGATGGCCAACGCTCGCGCTCTGATCGACGGCCTGGGAGGAGAAAAGGTCAGCTTCTACCTTCCATCCATCTAACGGTTCATTGGTCCGTCGTTCCTTCATCTCACACCTCGTCTTGTTGTGCCTCAGGTCCGTTGGACCGACAGCAGCGCGGGGTTTCAGACTCAGATCAAACACCTGGTGGGGGACGTCCTTCTGGCCACAGGCTTCCTGTCCTACGCCGGCCCCTTTAACCAGGAGTACCGCAGCCTGCTGCTGACGCTGTGGAGGAAAGAGATGGAGGAGAAGCTCCTCCCCTTCAGTCCCGTAAGATGTCACGGCTGAATGTTTATACAGAGAATCCACAGACAGTAGGAGTGTGTCCCAGAGACACAGATACCTGCAGCTCAGACAAAGCAGCCATATTATTGGTCAGATGATGAAACACATCACAGCCGCCTTGTTTCTGTTGGTTCTTAAACATGAGGAACCAAACCCTGCTGAACGAGCTCGTTCTGACCTGCTGATGATGTAACTCCGTTTCTCCTGCAGGAGCTGAACGTGATTGGTCTGCTGGTGGACAACGCCACAGTGAGCGAGTGGAACCTGCAGGGTTTACCCAGCGACGACCTGTCCATCCAGAACGGCATCGTGGTGACGAAGGCGTCCCGCTACCCGCTGCTGATAGACCCCCAGGGCCAGGGCAAGACCTGGATCCAGAACAGAGAGCGAGACCAGCAGCTGCAGGTGAGAGCGTCAGCACGTGACTCAAAGTCCGAGCGCTTCGCTGACTGTTCGTGATTTTCTTCTTCTGTGGCTCAGGTGACGTCTTTGAACCACAAATACTTCCGTTCCCACCTGGAGGACAGCCTGTCTCTTGGGCGCCCCCTGCTGCTGGAGGATGTTGGTGAGGAACTGGACCCTGTCCTGGACAACATACTGGACAAAAACTACATCAAGTCTGGCTCCACTTACAAGGTAAAACAACTGATCTGGACCGGAGGCTAAACGAGGAAGAAGACACAGTAACGGATGTTTCTCCTCCTCCTGCAGGTGAAGGTTGGAGACAAGGAGGTGGATGTAATGAAGGGCTTCACGCTCTACATCACCACCAAGATGGCCAACCCAGCATACAGCCCTGAGGTCAGCGCCAGGACGGCCGTGGTGGACTTCACCGTCACTCAGAGAGGCCTGGAGGACCAGCTGCTGGGACGGGTCATCCTGCTGGAGAAGCAGGTCACTCCACCCGCCAGTTATCCAATCAGTGACGTAGTTAATGAGTTAGCTAGTTACATTTCCTACGGTATGTTTGAAGGCCATTGTAGCGCTCGGCACGTCCACATTAAGATGTTTTACACCACACACTCATGCTGTCTGCTTTATGTTGGTGGGAACGTCTGAACCCACGTGTCCGCCCAACATCTCAGCGGAGGCCAAACAGGCCACGAACAAAGATAACGTTTCTGTGCACTGAACTGAAGGTGGATTAAATATGCCTGCCCTCATTTTGAAATGATTCCCGTGTTCTGATGAAGGAGATGGAGGCAGAGCGAGTGAAGCTCCTGGAGGAGGTGACGTCCAACAAGAGGAAGATGCAGGAGCTGGAGGACAGCCTGCTGTTCAGGCTCACCAGCACACAGGGCTCGCTGGTGGAGGACCAGTCTCTGATCGAGGTGCTGAGCGTCACCAAGATCACCGCTCAGGAGGTACCAGCTGCTCCTTCACTGCGTCTCCTTAATTCAATTCAATTCAATTCAATTCAATTCAATTTTATTTATATAGCGCCAAATCACAACAAAAGTCACCTCAAGGCACTTCATAGATACAGAGAAAAACCCAACAATCATATGACCCCTTATGAGCAGCACTTTGGCGACAGTGGGAAGGAAAAACTCCCTTTTAACAGGAAGAAACCTCCAGCAGAACCAGGCTCAGGGAGGGGCGGGGCCATCTGCTGCGACCGGTTGGGGTGAGAGAAGGAAGACGGGATAAAAGTTATTGTCTGATGCATGTTTGTAATGTTCATCGAGGAAAACATTTAAAAATCATCAGCTGCACTCTATTAACGTCCAAGGATAAAAGTCTGCAGCTGGAATGTGAAGAATAAATCCGCTGTAAGGGTCACAAAATGGGGGGGGGGGCGCCCCCTAGGGGAGGCGCAGAGCCCTTGCAGGGGGGCACAGTATGAATAAAATTAAATAAATTTTATAAATAAAATAAATGAATTAAAAAAAAGTGGGAGCAGCGCTGGGCTCTTCAAATCACGGACGAACAGGATCCCACATTCTTGATTTTTAGTTCACAAACACTTGTTGTAATGACTAACTGCTCCTGACATGTTGGAGATGTTTGCTCTTTATACAGTAAAGTTACAGTGAAATACAAATAACATCAGGCTGATCCTGCCACGATTTGTTCCCCCGGTTCAAATCACAGACAAAAAGTATCCCACAGCTGTAGGTCCTGTCTGAGTCCTTTTATCTTCCAGGTAAGTGAGAAGCTGACGGTTGCCGCGGAGACAGAGGTGAAGATTAACCAGGCCAGGGAGGAGTACCGGCCAGTGGCCACCAGGGGGAGCATCCTCTACTTCCTGATTGTGGAGATGTCGCTGGTGAACGTCATGTACCAGACGTCGCTGTGGCAGTTCCTCGGGCTTTTTGATTCGTCCATGCAGAACTCGGCCAGGTCGCAGGTCACCTCCAAACGCATTAGCAACATCATCAGCTTCCTCACTTACCAGGTGCTCCTCATCAGCGCACACCTCAGGGCTGTCCTTTCTTTCCTGTAACGTGCACTCGAGTGGAGGTTCAGGATGTTTGTCTGTCCCTCAGGTGTACCGTTACACAGCCAGAGGTCTGTACGAGGAACACAAGCTGCTCTTCACTCTGCTGTTGGCTCTAAAGATTGACCTGCAGGCCCGAATCATCTCGCACGTGGAGGTGCTCACCTTCATCAAAGGTTACCTTCTCCTCCTCCTTTCTTCTCCTGCATCCTCCAGAGTCCTTTGAGAGTGAAAGTTGTTTCTCTCTCGGTGTAGGTGGAGCCTCTCTGGACCTGAACTCTGTAGAATCGAAGCCACGGCGCTGGATCCTGGACCAGACCTGGCTGAACCTGGTGCAGCTGTCCAGCCTGCCTGCGTTCTTCCAGATTCTGAACCAGGTGAACCAGAACGAGCGCGCCTGGAAAGCGTGGTTCGACCATCCAGCGCCAGAAGACGCCCCGCTGCCCGATGGCTACGAGGAGAAGCTCGACACCTTCCGGAAGCTTCTGCTCATCCGGAGCTGGTGCCCCGACCGGACCATCGCTCAGGTCTGACTGCTGATTTGATCTGACAGAGCAGACTGGTTAATGTGGAGGCTAACAGCTGATGGTTGCAGGCGCGGCGCTACATCTCAGATTCTCTGGGCCAACAGTACGCCGAAGGCACGGTCCTGGACTTGGACACCATGTTGGCAGAGAGCAACAACCGAACGCCGATGGTGTGTCTGCTGTCGATGGGCTCCGACCCGACTGAGAACATCGAGAGATTAGCCAAGAATAAGGTGAGGGCGAGTAGTGAAAGGGCGGAGGTGAACGATGATGTAATAAAAAGGCAAAACATCGGAAACTACCGAAATAATTAATACTAAGTACGAATAATATAGTCATAAATCCTATTTAAGCAAGTGATCGGATATTTACTTTAAACCTAAAGAGTGCAGATGACCGGGGTACACAAGAAAATACAGAAATAATTTTTGTGTATTTATAGAAAAATAGCTGAAAGTACAGGAGCAAAAGCAAATTAAGGAAAAATACTGATTTATTTTGTTAAAGCCTAGATTTGATTTTTTTTGCTGCAGGGGGCGCCGTGCCATCCCATCTCCATGGGTCAGGGCCAAGAGGTTCACGCTCGCAGGCTATTGGCCAACAGCATGCTGGACGGCGGCTGGCTCCTCCTCCAGAACTGCCACCTGGGACTGGACTTCCTGGATGAGCTGCTGGAGACGGTCACATCAGCCGTGCCGGAGAGCGTGCACAAAGATTTCCGAGTGTGGCTGACGACCGACGTGCACCCCAGGTAACAATGACGAGGTCTGAGGTCCTGCTTTAAGTCCTGGCGGCTCCTCTGCAGGTTCACTTTACGGCACATTTAGTCTCAGCTTAAACCAGCAGAGCTGCTTGACTGTGTTTGTGTTTGTGAGCAGGTTCCCCATCACCTTCCTTCAGTCCTCCATCAAGTTCACCAATGAACCTCCTCTTGGTAGGAGACATGATCCTGATGAACTCGTGAATTTTTATTGATCCTTCGCTGTCTTTCACTTTCCCACTTATTTTATTTTATCTGTCGGCATCAGGCATGAAAGCCGGTCTGAAGAGGACTTTTAATGGTGTCACTCAGGACCAGCTAGAGATCAGCAACCTGCCTCAGTGGAAGCCTCTGCTGTACGCTGTGGCCTTCCTCCACACCACCGTGCAGGTATCTGCCAACACCCACACGATCAGATTCATAAATCCACCGTTTCTTTGTGGAAAACAGCTCCTGTAAGATCATTCTGATGTTATCATTTCTCCTTCTTCTTCTTTATCCCATCAGGAGCGTCGTAAGTTCGGTCCGCTCGGCTGGAACATCCCCTACGAGTTCAACCAGGCAGATTTTACCTCCAGCATCCAGTTTGTGCAGAACCACTTGGACAACCTGGACGTGAAGAGAGGCGTGAACTGGAGCTGTCTGCGCTACATGCTCGGTCAGTCTCTTTAAACCTGCTCTGTTCTTTCCACTGTAACGTTTCATCCATCAGATTATGAGAGAAACCTCCAGGTCTTCAGGTCTCTAGAAATCTTCCTGACTCTTTCTTCACGTCTGCTCTCCAGGTGAAGTCCAGTATGGCGGTCGGGTGACGGATGACTTGGACAAACGGCTCCTCAACACGTTCACGAGTGTCTGGTTCAGTGAGAGCACCTTCAGTGAAGCTTTCTGCTTCTTTAAGGGCTACAGCATCCCTGCCAAGGCCAAGAGCATCCAGGAGGTCCTGCAGCACATCGAGGGGCTGCCGCTGGTCGACTCACCGGAGGTCCGAGCACGCTCAGAGACGGGACGCGTCCACACCGAGGCAGTACTAGCCCAGTCACATGTCACATTTCTCCTGTTTGCAGGTGTTTGGACTCCACCCCAACGCTGACATCACCTACCAGACCAACCTGGCGAATGACACGCTGAGCACCATAATCAACATCCAACCGAAGGACACCGGAGGCGGGGCCGGGGAGACCAGGGAGGCCAGCGTGCAGAGACTAGCCAATGAGATGCTGGAGAAGCTGCCACCTGACTACATCCCACATGAGGTGCTTGTTTAGCACCGAACGGCCGACCCAAAACTCGACGAAGAACACAATCCCACCAGCTAGCTTAGCTTAGCATGAATACTGGAAACAGCTGAGCTGCTGTGTAAGCAACAAGCTGCCAAGTTAAAAACAAAAATGTGCTCATGTTCAAAGCAGCTTTGTTAGGCTCAAGAAACACATGCAGCTCTGTGCAGCTCAAACAAACAGTGTGCTAATACACGAGTGTCAGAGATGCAGGTGAGCAGATTTGTGTACGTTTGGACCGAGCCGGGGTAGCTGTTTCCTGTCTCTAATGTTTATGCTAAGCTAACATTATTGAACTTTGACAGGAAGTGAAAAAGAATGCAGAGATAAATGTGACAATAAAGCACAGTGTGGTTGTACTCTAGAGCCCGGCTGCTAACCCCGACCGTCGCCCAGTGAATGATGGAAACGAGTGAATAGATTTCAGACAGCAGATTTGTCAGCGTCTGATTCTTTTAGATGAATTCAGACTTCAAATCATCAGCAGAATCTGGCATCTCTGAACCATCAAACACGAACACGTTCATGAGTCCTCTGGAGAAACATGACGTCTCTGTGTGTTTTGAAGGTCAAAGGTCAACTCCAGAAGATGGGTCCTCTTCAGCCAATGAACATCTTCCTCCGACAGGAGTTGGACCGAATGCAGCGTGTCATCAGCAGCGTACGGAGCACGCTCACTGACCTCAGACTGGCCATCGATGGTCAGTCACACGCACACACACACACACACACACGTTCACTGAGGCTCGATGTGACTCGTGTTTCCGCCGTTGCAGGGACCATCATCATGTCTGAAGACCTGCGCGACGCCCTCGACAGCATGTTCGATGCTCGGATCCCGCGCCTGTGGCTGAGGCTCAGCTGGCCGTCGGCCACGCTCGGCTTCTGGTTCAGCGAGCTGCTGGAGAGGAACCAGCAGCTCAGCGCGTGGATCAGCGCCGGCCGGCCCAACCAGTTCTGGCTCACCGGCTTCTTCAACCCGCAGGTTGGTTCGTTGTTCCGGAAATCTGGAGTTTTGGAATTCTTCAGTTTTCTTTGAATGTTTTTTGTTTCTTTAGGGTTTCCTGACCGCCATGCGCCAGGAGACGACACGCTCCAACCTGTCCAGGGGCTGGGCCTTGGACACGGTCACCCTTAGCAACGATGTCACCAAGATGATGAGGGAGGACGTCTCAGCTCCGCCCCCTGAAGATGTGGGTGGAGTCTACATCTATGGCCTCTTTCTGGATGGAGCGGGATGGGACAGACGTGGCGCCAAACTCGTTGAGGCTCCGCCCAAAGTTTGTCTTTTTAAAATCAGTGTTTTTTTACTTAAATGAAAATAATAAACTGAAGCTTTAAAAAACTTCAGCGTTCAAAAGTCCAACGTTTTACTGTTTCTGTATTTTTTTGTAAATTAACATAAAAACATTTTAAGAGTTTTTAAAGATTCATCTAATGAAAAATTATGAATTATTAATTGATTCAGAAACTAAATCTAAACTAAAATTTAGGAACTAAATGAAATCAAAGTATTTTTGTTTTTGCTCAGTAATAATAAGTTTGTCTCTGCCCCTCAGGTCCTCTTCACCCCCCTCCCTGTGGTCCACGTCTTCGCCGTCAGCTCAGCCAACATGGCCGACAGTAAGCGTCCCCCTGGCGGCGGGGGGGCGGTCAGCCTGTACTCGTGTCCCGTCTACAAGAAGCCTCGACGCACCGACCTGAACTTCATCTTCTCCCTGCAGCTGAGGAGCGTGCAGCCGCCCGAGCACTGGACGCTGCGAGGCGCCGCGCTGCTCTGCGACTGCAAGTGATCCAAACGTTGTTGTTCCACAGACACGGACAGACACTGACCGTGGGGCTCTGCTGCGTCTCACTCAGACCTCCCCACAGTTTCAGTTTGAGCTTTTTTATTCTGATGTTCTGATAGTTTCCATTTTTCTTCAGCACCAAACATGTTTGTAGGTTTTTAGTCTGTTAAATTTATGAAAATCAAAATGTTTCCACCTCTTCTCTCCGCAAGTCTCTAATAATAATAATAATAATAATAATAATAATAATAATAATAATAATAATAATAATAATAATAATAATAATAATAGTAACATTAATGATTTTGTATGTGACCTCACACAGTAAAGCTGATGTGAGGATCATCTCAGTTCTGGTGATTGTACGAACTTAATGCATAAAATAATAATTTGTTTTAATTAAAAAACTTTCCATCTGTCATTTCCTGAGTGTTTCAAAATAAAAGTCCTGTCTTTCATGTTTTGAATGTGAGGCTGTTCCTGTGATGCCTTCAAATCTGGTTCAGTCTGCAGTTTTTTACAGTTCAGAGCCAAAGTGACTCAAACATTTACTTAAAAGAGGTTTTTGTTCGTCTGGGTTTTCCTGCTCAGCAGCGCTAAACAGGCAAAACGCACAAACAGAAAGAAACAGGAAAATATGTGTTTCTTTGAACAACGCAGCAGCAAAATGAAAGACCAGGATTTATTTTTTAATGATTGACAAAAACATTAAATGATCATGTTTATTTTCACATAAATGTTCCATCGGTCCTTCTTTTAGAAGAAGTTTAGAAATTAAAAATACTAATAACACAGCAGGAAAAAGCCGACAGCACGAGTCCTGAAAGGCTTAAAGAGAAAATAAACGCACAAAGAATGAAACAAAAAGGCACAAAACCTCAAAACAAGAGTGAATTAAATCTGAGCGACCCACAAAGATGCTAAAAGCCCCAAACATGAACCTGTGAGGTCATTAATGCCTGTGTATGTGTGGGTGTACATGTTTACATGTCTTTGTGGGGACCAACATGCCCGTCCCCACAAGTTTGAAGACATTTTTGGGACTCAGGATGTGGTTTTAGTGTCAGGGACAGTCGGGTCAGGGTTAGGCATTCAGTCTTAATGGTTAGAGTAAAAGGCTGAGGAGAGCATGATGTCAAATAGATGTCCCCACAAGAATATGAAAACACAACCGTGTGTGTGTGTTACTGTGAATTTGTGAGACAAGTGAAGATTTCAGAATCAGTGAATCACCAATCACTTCCTGTTGGTGAAGAAGAGCAGACTCCTCTTCAGCCACAGAAATGAAGAAGCTTTTATTTTGACGAGCTCAGCCACGAGCAGAGGCGACCCTGCAGAGGTGAAGGTCACAGTCAGAATCAGCGCCAGAGAACCGCACGAGGACGGCCTCACTGGTCACGGCTGAGTTCATTATGTGATGGTAACAAGCTGATTATTACAGAACAGGAAACACACGTCTGCTCATCAAACACCAGCTGCTGCTGCTTTCATCAGTCTGCCAACAAAACCTCACAAGAAAGAAGTTTGTGTGAGTTTGCAGCGTTCCTCTAAACTGAAAACTAAAACAGACTGAAAATGGGAGCATGCAGCTGCACTCGAGAGTCAGGCAGCTTCAATGTGTTTGTCTTCATCTGTAGTTACTGTTGTGATATTTTGATACCATGGTAGCATTTACAGGATATTGTTTTGTAGTGATTTAATGATTTGAAAACTGTTACTCAATAAGGCCCATTTACTAGTTGTTTTTCTCTTTCTCTCTGACCCATGTATTGATGTGTAAGAATCACAGGCTGGTACCCCAAGGTCGAAAATACCACAGAGACGAGACCACTTCCTTACTCCCATCCTCCCTTCCTTATCTTTTAGAAAAGAGCTTGTTAAAAAGCCAGGTGGTTTGTTTCAGAATTCACTAATGAAAGAGCTCTGTATTCTATGTCTAGGAGTGTATTTTGCTGGGATGACCATAAATTGTAGCTGAAGAGATAAACTACACAAAGGATACTTCTTTGCTCAGAAGTCAGGAAGACGTTTCCTTATTTGGTCTGTACCGGTTTGAACTGAGAACCTGCTGACACACGAACCTTTTTTCCTCTATATAAGCTGTTATGTACTAATAAACCTTTGAGTTGATTGTGGGAGAGCAAGCTGAAACAGTCTATGTGTCACTTTGTTCTCCTAACTGCTCCCGGTGCTGTAACTAACCTGCTGAACGGCATACTTGAGCGTTACTTTGAATAATTAGGAGTCTTATAAGGAAAGGGAAAAACTCTGCTTATCGCTCACGCCACGGAGGAAACCCGGGACGGCAATTTCCTTCAGTTACGTTTCATTGGCTGGAAATGTGCTAACTGGAATCCTTCATGAGTCCAGATGAACATAAACAAGTGTTTACTGCTCCACGCTGCACGAGTCAAAATCACTCGGACGCGCCCACGTAGGCATTCCGCTAAAACCATGTGACCACCTTTAAACCTGTCGTGAATATGATTTTAGACTCTTCACTTTATTTTGAAAGAACAGATTTGCAGGAAGTGCGGCTGCTGCAGAAACTCTTCACTTTTCACTGGCTTTAATCTTGAAGGTTTCTCCAGATGTGGAACATTCATGCTAAACATTCAACATCTGACGAGCGTCTCCGTGTAAAACACTGACAAACTCAAACTTTATACGGTAACTGACAGATTTATTCCTCCATTTTCAGGCATTTCACAATGAACTTGGATTAGTTTGATGCTTTTCTTCACGTTGGTGAATAAAACCAGCCAAGAGGCTGATTCCTGCAGAGGAGGAGGCAGAGTGGAGGAATCTGCAGGTCACTAACACACAACCAGAGCTTCAATCATAACGAGCACATAATAAAACCATGATCCCCCCGATCGACTCTTTCAGCCTGTTTCCTCTGGATCCAACAGGATCTAACAAACCCCAGCTTCTGCTGGGACACTGGTCATGATGGGAGGAAAAAGATGGCTGCTGTGTTGCTGTTTCCTGTCTTACACCAGGGTTATACTTCCTGTATCTGTTTTCAATCAGAGGATGAACTTAAAGCTTTCAGTCTGCTCTACAACCCACCACCTATCCACACGTCTGCTAAGTGACTGGAAATCAGTAAAACTTCTACCAGACTTTAGTAAATGTTGCATTAAGATGAGCAGACAGATTTTAATCTCAGCATCGCAGATTTTTCAGGACACTGGAAGAGTTCCTGCCGTGGATTTAGATGTTAGTGTTGTGTGGATGATCCCATTCTGTGATCTTTGTGTTACTGATGCTTTTACACTTTAGGACCCTCGAGACCTCTGCTGCTCAGCCGTCCTGATCGCTGCCTCCACTTTAACCAGTGCCAGAGGCTGTAACCTCTGATCATTTCACCTGCACCGACAGCAAAACTCTTCTCCAGAACCAAACGTGCCATAAACCCATCACAGCTTCATCATCAGCTCAGTGTCAGCAACATGCAGACGACCGAGCAGCAGAAACTCTGCAGGGAACGTCTGAAGTCTGTTCTTCAGTTTTCCCAGCTCACTGTTTATTGAACACGAGACAGAAAAATAACTTCACCTTTAATGTGAAACTTTTATCGCCTGTGACATGTTTGCAGGAAGTCTTCGTGCTGTGATTTAGTGTCACAGCCATAAATATCACACAAGGTAAAAACTACAAGTCCCAGCATCCTCTGTGTTTAGGGCAGAGCAGTGAAAGTGAAAGTGTTGATCCTCCGTTCAGAGCAGCAGGAGGAGGAAGGTGGAGCTGATGCAGGCGAGTGTCAACGTGAATATGTTTCTTCTTATGACATAAAATAATTCCACACTGTTCGTGTCTGTGGGTGAAACGTGAGGCCGGTCGGCTCCTCTGAGCGCTGGTTTCCTGTAAGTAGAGAGGAAGTGAGTTTAGCTGAGAGAGCAGGAGGAGAGTGAGAGCTGTGCTGAGGCAGCTGAGTGTAAACACCGCTCTGACATTACTGTGTCTCTGTGGCGGGAACAACAGGCTCCGTCAGTGGAGGCAAAAATAATCAGACTTTGGTTTTTCAAAGGAAACTACTTTATGTTGGGAGAAGCCGCGCGCTCATTGGATAACGACCTGTCAATCTGAAGTTATTAGCCAATGAGCGCGCAGGTTCACAGTAAGACCCGCCCCTATGACGGCATTTTTAAAAACTAAAATGGCGACAGAAACTCCGTCAGAGGAGTTCAGGCTGATTTTATGAAAGTGCGACGTTTGAGCCACTTCCTGTTCTCAGTCCCGGCGTCCTGATCACCGACGTTTCTGTTGCTCTGATATCTGATATTGATTATATCGGTAAACAGGCTGTAGCAGAAACATCAGGGCCCTGTTTCAGGAAGCCGGTTTAGAAAACTCAGAGTGAAAAACGATACTCAGGGTTGAGTAACCCCGAACTGTCCAACTCGGAATATTCGGTTTCAGAAAGGCTGATAACAAGTAGTTCAGTCAACGCGGAGTTGCTTTAACCCCAAGTGAAGCGCGCGGACGAGGATGCATAAAGCCCTGATAAGCGGAGCACAGATTAAGCGAGTCACCATGGAGACGGAGGGAAAGAAGGCGCGGTCAATGTATTTTACAGCGCTTGAGGCCGAAATTCTGATGGCAGCATATGCCGATAACATGCAAATTTTGCAGAAAAAAATAACACAGCCACAGCTGCAAAAGAAAGAGAGCATGCATGGCAAAACATAGCCGACAGAGTCAATGCGTGAGTGTTAATATAAACATTGATCTAGGGATTTCCACCCATTTAACACGTTATTTTATCATATGTTATTTTATTTGTTATTTTATACATTTTATTTTGTGATGTGATGTGAGCGCAGGTGCAACCCAACAGGCCCCAAACGTGCCTGGCAGCAAGTAAAAATGAAATATAAAAATATAGTCCAAACAGGTAAGGTGTAATTGTATTATGAGCCATAGTGCTTGGTCTGTTTGTCCGATGTAAATCAATTGCAGTTAGAGGCTACATTAATTTTCTTTCTGTAAGCACTTATTGAAATTATCTGAGCACATTACAAGTACATATTTGCTTACTCTGTATGCTCAAAGGTGACCCGTTATAGCCAACAGAAAAAAAGCGGAGGCCCGAAAAACAGGTGGGGGTACTCCACCACCACCACCACTCACAGAGGCTGAGCAGTTGGCCCTCAGCCAAAACAGTGGGCGCCCTGTGGCCGAAGGCATCTCTGCGGGGACATCCTCTGAGTCAATAACCCCGCAAGACACAAGTGCCTACATAGGGGGTAAATTCAAATAATACATGATGTGCATACATCCTTTCTTCACAGTCACCTTTGCAGTGCTACTCATTCATTTGATAAACTCTTTACCATAATGGATTATTTTGTAGTGAAGTTATTTTCCTACTGATTTTGCCTTCCCTCAGTCTTGGTTGTCTTTGAGAGCATAATGACAATGAAGTGTAAGGTGATTGGTATGTTTGTTAATTGCCATTTGGTCCCTTGTAAGTTATAAGTGACCTGTATAAACCTCATATTCTATCAGTTGATGGTGATGGTGTACTGCATCTGGTGCAGCCTCCTGTTGAGCCAGACCAACATGCAGTTGTGAGTAATACTCCACAGATTATATGAGTTTACAGTAGAACAGCAATGTTGTTTATTTCTTTACTACAGGAAAATAATGAAGAAACATTGACAGCTGTTACAGAGGAGGAAGCAACAGAGACACTTTATGAGGTTTACATCTTTTAATACTTTGTGTACAGGAAACACAGGCGACCAATAAAGCCAGTTGAACAGAAAATCTGTTTATTCTTCTTTCAACATGTTGAGGTGATGGGTCAAAGGAAATGATTGTGACATATGGTGTCTCTGACTGCGCTCCCATCTTGTATGTCCGTGGGAGGGTCAGGATGTTCATGGTTTGGATCACTGCTGATGTTTGGTTCAGAAGGACAGTGTTCTCCTCTAATTGTGGCAATGTTGTGAAGAATCACACATGCCACAATAATGTCACATGCCCTTTCTGGGGTGACCCTGAGTCTTTGCAGGCACTGGAACCGGGCCTTAAGCATTCCGATAGTCATTTCAACTCTGGCTCTTGTCCTGCAATTAGCCAGATTATATCGCTGCTGTGGGCCCGGTTCAGGGTCAGAGTAAGGGGTAAGCAAATAGGGTAAACATGGATACCCCTATCACCAAGCAAGTAGCCAGTGAACTCTCCTAAGACAGAAGGATACACTTCAGTTCAAATGTCCCTGAAGCAATTGGTCTTTATATATTTTAAAGTATTCTCAACTCACCATGTCCAAATTTTGTGCTCAGTGTACATTCACGGAATATTTGTGAGTCATGGACAGAGCCTGGCCACTTGGCTTCCACATTTGTGATAATGTTGGCAGCATCACATATGATCTTCACAGTGCAGAGAACACAAATTAGCATCCATTACTATAATGAAATAATGTGTTAGTTTGAAATGCTACAGGGAACTATGTACCTGTGCATTAATGCTGTGGAAAGACTTCCTGTTCACATAGTCTCCTTCATTTACTGAAGGAGCAATGATTGGAATGTGAGTGCCATCTGTACAGCCAATCACGCCTGGGAACCCTGAAAATAAATGTAAAATTTAAGTAGTAGTTCAAGTATCACCACATCATAAATTAAGTTTTGGTCATCCTGATACCTGCAATTTTGTGGCATCCCTCTTTGATAAATCTTGTGGGTCTATGACCGGGGAACACCACAAACAAGTACAGGAGACGTTTCAGTGCAACTGTAACATTCCTGACTGCCCGACAGACGGTAGCCTTGGAAACGTGCTCAGCGTCACCAATATTATACAGAAAGCTCCCGTTTGCAAAAAACCGAAGTGCAATACAAATAATATGTAATGAACTGAGAGGATGTCCGTGATGTGTCACATGAGCAATATTAGGCCTGAGGATGTTATCCAAATAAATTATAGATTGTGCTGAGAAACGGTAACGTTCACACAGGAAATCATCAGGAAATGATAAAATGTCCAAACGCGCTCTGATCACTCTCTCCCGGCGGAGAGCTCTGCGGAGAATTTGGGCTTCACGATCTACTGGCTCTTCAAGGAAGGGGCACGCCATGTCTGACACTTCCTACTGTCAGGTTTCTGACAAAGAGGCGGAGACAGTCAGGGTTAGTTGTAGTAAACCTGCTAGGGGGCAGGTTAGCTTCACGGAGTGTGTCGTCATAGTGACTCACTCAGGCTGCAGCTGAACTCGCTTTGTGAAACCGAAAACCCAGAGTTTTCGTTAACTCAGGGTATACTTACTCAGTTTTTCCACTAAACCGGCTTCCTGAAATAGGGCCCAGGGCCTGAGTAAGTATACCCTGAGTTAACGAAAACTCTGGGTTTTCGGTTTCACAAAGCGAGTTCAGCTGCAGCCTGAGTGAGTCACTATGACGACACACTCCGTGAAGCTAACCTGCCCCTAGCAGGTTTACTACAACTAACCCTGACTGTCTCCGCCCCTTTGTCGGAAACCTGACAGTAGGAAGTGTCAGACATGGCGTGCCTCTTCCTTGAAGAGCCAGTAGATCGTGAAGCCCAAATTCTCCGCAGAGCTCTCCGCCGGGAGAGAGTGATCAGAGCGCGTTTGGACATTTTATCATTTCCTGATGATTTTCTGTGCGAACGTTACCGTTTCTCAGCACAATCTATAATTTATTTGGATAACATCCTCAGGCCTAATATTGCTCATGTGACACATCGCGGACATGCTCTCAGTTCATTACATATTATTTGTATTGCACTTCGTTTTTTGCAAACGGGAGCTTTCTGTATAATATTGGTGACGCTGAGCACGTTTCCAAGGCTACCGTCTGTCGGGCAGTCAGGAATGTTACAGTTGCACTGAAACGTCTCCTGTACTCGTTTGTGGTGTTCCCCGGTCATAGACCCACAAGATTCATCAAAGAGGGATGCCACAAAATTGCAGGTATCAGGATGACCAAAACTTAATTTATGATGTGGTGATACTTGAACTACTACTTAAATTTTACATTTATTCTCACGGTTCCCAGGCGTGATTGGCTGTATAGATGGTACTCACATTCCAATCATTGCTCCTTCAGTAAATGAAGGAGACTATGTGAACAGGAAGTCTTTCCACAGCATTAATGTACAGGTACATAGTTCCCTGTAGCATTTCAAACTAACAAATTATTTCATTATAGTAATGGATGCTAATTTGTGTTCTCTGCACTGTGAAGATCATATGTGATGCTGCCAACATTATCACAAATGTGGAAGCCAAGTGGCCAGGCTCTGTCCATGACTCACAAATATTCCGTGAATGTACACTGAGCACAAAATTTGGACATGGTGAGTTGAGAATACTTTAAAATATATAAAGACCAATTGCTTCAGGGACATTTGAACTGAAGTGTATCCTTCTGTCTTAGGAGAGTTCACTGGCTACTTGCTTGGTGATAGGGGGTATCCATGTTTACCCTATTTGCTTACCCCTTACTCTGACCCTGAACCGGGCCCACAGCAGCGATATAATCTGGCTAATTGCAGGACAAGAGCCAGAATTGAAATGACTATCGGAATGCTTAAGGCCGGTTCCAGTGCCTGCAAAGACTCAGGGTCACCCAGAAAGGGCATGTGACATTATTGTGGCATGTGTGATTCTTCACAACATTGCCACAATTAGAGGAGAACATTGTCCTTCTGAACCAAACATCAGCAGTGATCCAAACCATGAACATCCTGACCTCCCACGGACATACAAGATGGAAGAGCAGTCAGAGACACCATATGTCACAATCATTTCTTTTGACCCATCACCTCAACATGTTGAAAGAAGAATAAACAGATTTTTTGTTCAACTGGCTTTATTGGTCGCCTGTGTTTCCTGTACACAAAGTATTAAAAGATGTAAACCTCATAAAGTGTCTCTGTTGCTTCCTCCTCTGTAACAGCTGTCAATGTTTCTTCATTATTTTCCTGTAGTAAAGAAATAAACAACATTGCTGTTCTACTGTAAACTCATATAATCTGTGGAGTATTACTCACAACTGCATGTTGGTCTGGCTCAACAGGAGGCTGCACCAGATGCAGTACACCATCACCATCAACTGATAGAATATGAGGTTTATACAGGTCACTTATAACTTACAAGGGACCAAATGGCAATTAACAAACATACCAATCACCTTACACTTCATTGTCATTATGCTCTCAAAGACAACCAAGACTGAGGGAAGGCAAAATCAGTAGGAAAATAACTTCACTACAAAATAATCCATTATGGTAAAGAGTTTATCAAATGAATGAGTAGCACTGCAAAGGTGACTGTGAAGAAAGGATGTATGCACATCATGTATTATTTTGAATTTACCCCCTATGTAGGCACTTGTGTCTTGCGGGGTTATTGACTCAGAGGATGTCCCCGCAGAGATGCCTTCGGCCACAGGGCGCCCACTGTTTTGGCTGAGGGCCAACTGCTCAGCCTCTGTGAGTGGTGGTGGTGGTGGAGGACCCCCACCTGTTTTTCGGGCCTCCGCTTTTTTTCTGTTGGCTATAACGGGTCACCTTTGAGCATACAGAGTAAGCAAATATGTACTTGTAATGTGCTCAGATAATTTCAATAAGTGCTTACAGAGGGGAAATTAATGTAGCCTCTAACTGCAATTGATTTACATGGGACAAACAGACCAAGCACTATGGCTCATAATACAATTACACCTTACCTGTTTGGACTATATTTTTATATTTCATTTTTACTTGCTGCCAGGCACGTTTGGGGCCTGTTGGGTTGCACCTGCGCTCACATCACATCACAAAATAAAATGTATAAAATAACAAATAAAATAACATATGATAAAATAACGTGTTAAATGGGTGGAAATCCCTAGATCAATGTTTATATTAACACTCACGCATTGACTCTGTCGGCTATGTTTTGCCGTGCATGCTTTTGCAGCTGAGGCTGTGTTACTTTTTTCCGCGGAATTTGCATGTTATCAGCATATGCTGCCATCAGAATTTCGGCCTCAAGCGCTGTAAAATACATTGACCGCGCCTTCTTTCCCTCCGTCTCCATGGTGACTCGCTTAATCTGTGCTCCGCTTATCAGGGCTTTATGTATCCTCGTGCGCGCGCTTAACTTGGGGTTAAAGCAACTCCGCGTTGACTGAACTAATTGTTATCAGCCTTTCTGAAACCGAATATTCCGAGTTGGACAGTTCGGGGTTACTCAACCGTGAGTGTCGTTTTTCACTCTGAGTTTTCCAAACCGGCTTCCTGAAACAGGGCCCAGGTCTGATCTGAAACAAACTTTAAGAGTTTTATGGCCGTGTGAGGCCGCACGCTGATTGGATAACCACCTGTCAGTCTCAGGGTATTAGCCAATGAGCGCGCAGATTCACAGTAAGACCTTATCACGTCATTCTTTTAAACTAACACATCGACAGTAAAACTGTAACGTGTCCTGTGATCTATAAACACTCTGTGATGAATAATCTGAAGTCATTTTGAGCCTGACAGTAGTTTCCTGTCACAGAGCAGAAGCTGCAGGCAGTTTTTGGCACCTTTATATTTAATTTATTCCAAAATAAATCAATAAAGGTAGAAAAGAACTCAGTGACATTAAAATCTATTTTAAAGACAGATGTGACCAAGTGCAACAAATATAAGATGACATGTTTACAGATATTTGAAGTATTGATCATGTGTAGAACACAGAGCAGGTCCAATAACAGAGTCATCCTGCTCACAAACAGCACTTTGGTTTCATGAGCTCACTTCCTGCAGTGATCCTCAGCTTCTCTCCAAAGGAGCCGTAACATGTGGGCTCCTCACCATGATGATGATCCAAACACACTGAGTTCCTTCATCATCATGTACTTATTAAATAATGTGATGGTTTTGGTGTTTTTAAAGACTTTGAGCCTCTAAACTAACTGGTTTGGACTTTAGGGCCAAAGCTCCAACATTAGAAAGCCGTCAGTGTGATGCTTCCAGTACAACAGCACCTCTGAGTGTGTGTGTTTACCTCTCAGACTAACTCCACCCTGACATCAAGAAGATGGAGGAAGAGGACGGAGCAGCATCTGCAGCATCCAGCTGTGTGTCTGTGAGGAGTGACGGGGTTACACAAACACCTCCACCTTACAGTCATGGACCTGCAGCAACAATGTAAGAACACTACTAACTTTATTAGTCATTTCAACACAACCATGGCAGAATCATTGATCTGTGATTGGTTCAAACTGATCTGAGTTTGATTTTTATTGACTCGTTTTCTTGCTGAGATCTGAACTCTGTAAGTTTAATTGAAGTCAGTGCAGCAGAATCAGAGAGAAGAGCTGAGAACAAACTGAGTTCATTCAGAGACAGAAAGACTGGCTGATGATTGGCTGACCTGTCAGCCTTATGAAGCAGCCACAATATCACAGAGGGATCAGCTGATCATATGGCTGTCAGAGAGAACTGATCAGTTATTGATGTTTGTGTTTGCAGAGGTCAGAGGTCACAGTCTCCGGCATCCAGCTGTGTGTCTGTGAGGAGTGACTGGTCCAAAGACAGACCTCCACAATTTCATAATGAACCTGCACGGACAATGTAAGAAAACTGAACTTTAAAACTGTAAATTATTTTCCAGTTACATTAGAATTTGTGCGAATCTGTTTTATGTGTTAGAATTTAGGCTACAATGTATAGATCTTTTTAAAGTGACAAACGTTATTCATTTGCCCTACTTCACTCTGAATGCGTCTGCAGCTGCAGGCCGTTCTCACTCCTGAGGCATAATATAGTGATGATTTGTCAAGACCCGAACATGATGCTTCATGCTGGGTTATGGATGAAATCCAGCAGAATGATGCTCCCGCGGCAATACACATTCCAGCCATGTATTCCAGCCCTAACCATAACCTTATCCCTAATTTTGACCAGCACTTTAATGACGTTAGATAGTGTTTTCCAAAGCGATTTTAGTGAAACGAACGTGCATGTGTAGATTCATTCTACACAGTTCTCATGTTTCCTCATTTTTCTGATCTCGTAATATAGGGACGTGTTGGGCGCCTGGAAGCGTAATATAATGACAACTTGTCACTTAGCGTAGAATTTTACGAGAATGGGTTGGCCTTTGATCAGTCACCTAGAAAATCTGTAATCTAATCTAAGAGAACTAGGAAACTATCACGTTATCTGTAGCAGCTGCAATGAGTGTGTTGAGAACTGCTTAAAAGAATTTCATCAGAGAATTTATGAGAGACTGATGGGATATGATCAGAAATGTATTTGTGTTTGCAGAGGTCAGAGGTCACAGTCTCCAACATCCAGCTGTATATCTATGAAGAGTGACTGGTCCAAAGACAGACCTCCACAATTCAGTAATGAACCTGGACCAACAATGTAAGAAAACTCAGTGTCAGTGTTTAAATGTTGTTTATGAATAAGGTATTCTATAACTGACATAAATTATTTGTAAACAGTCATTGCTCTTAAAATTGGAATAATTGCTTCTTTTTTTGCATAACTTCTACTATTGCACAGTTGTTAGTGAATGTCCCTGAGGATGTGGGTTTCAACGTTCTGGTTCTTAGACAATATGTGTTTACCTTCTTCTGACAGAGATGCCTTACTCAGCCGACCCCAACTCCAAGCACACCATCTTCTTGGCATGAATCCAGTTTGTAAATAGAGTGTTTGTTCATGACAGTACATCTGTTTCCATGAAACACGGCTGTAGCCCAGTTTCAACTGCATCTTAACCTTGCACATCTAAATGTAACTCCAAAGTCTTCTTCTGTGCAAAAGCAACATTGCAGCTGCAAAGGCAGAAGCTACTGCTTGCAGTAGCTTGTATAGAAGTAGCTCCACCCACCCGTCAGTGCCTGGTAGCAGGGACAAGCTTGATGGGTCTGCCTAACACAAACCCGCCGCTGGAACGAGAGAATTCAAATACAACAGCAAAAAGCTTTGAACACCAAGTAGTCAAAGTTCTTTATGCATGAGGGAGACCCGACCGGAGCCGAGTGTCGTTCAGCCCACTTGACCTCCGTCAGACTCTTGTCCGCTCCCTCGTAACACTGCTCTTTTATTGAGGTTACATGAATATGCATAGGTTCATTAACATAGGTACACATGTGAACAAAGAGTACCGTCTGTGTGTGTGTGGGGGGGGGGGGGTTTCAAGATGTGACCCCATAAACGACTTCCCTAATCCTGCTGGTCTGAAAGTCCAGCAGTCCATCTAAACAGAAGGCACTTATACTAATACAGATATACGTGTGTTTGCTATTCCATGTATCAGCAAGAGAAGATATAACCTCTCTCATGACCTTAAGCTGTGTGAATGCCAGAACACTCTGGAATGCACACACAGTCTTTGCAGACTACTAAGGATCAGACCTCTATCAATATGACATTGATTATAAACTCTAAGCATATATGAGTAAATATTTCTAAGCATAAATGACAATCAACCATATAAACCTGACAAAGCTTGGTTCTGTGCACCTGCCTCCTAAAACCATTTAATGCGAAGCTGGAAATCAGTTGCTCTGCCATCTGATGTTTTCTATTCCTCCTTTCACAAAGTGCACAAGTAAGTTTGCACTGGGATGCCAGGTTCTTCTCTATCTGTCATTCGCAAATGCAGCAGCAAATTTCCTGATACAAGGATGCCCGGTTCTCATTTGCTAATGCAGAAGCAAGTTCTTTTACCACTGGGATGCCAGTTTCTCCCCATCTAATCTCCATATCCTAAGCTGCAGCCATTCTTTACGGCAGTGAGACATCAGGGTTTCTGGCTCTATCCCTTATTTGCAAATGCGGCAGAAAGCCTTTTTGCATCTGCACCAAGTTGCCAGTTATCACCCTACTATCCTTCCAGTGCCAGGTTCTGTCCTTTATCGCTCTTTTTAAAACATCCAAACTCTGCCATGTGCATAATTTCTCAAGGCATCCTTTCACTTCTCACGTGCTTTTACTAGCATCGCCTAAACCAGGGGTGGGCAACTCCAGGCCTCGAGGGCCAGTGTCCTGCAGGATATAGATATCATTATCAGATATCTATATCCTTTAGATATAGATTATTTTTGTTTAGAAATTAGCTGCCTAAGTATCTAAGAGGACTATTATTGACAGGAAACTATCACATGATCTGCAGCACCTGCAGCATGTGTGCTGCTTAAAAGAATTTCATCAGAGAATTTATCAGACTGATGCGATATGTTTGTGTTTGCAGAGGTCAGAGGTCACAGTCTCCAGTATTAGGCTGTCTGTCTATGAGGAGTGACTGGTCCAAAGACAGACCTCCACAATTCAGTAATGAACCTGGACCAACAACGTAAGAAAAAGTGAATGTATTGAATATAAACTGTAAATAATTCTGTCAAATTTTAATTTGTGAAAATCAGTTTTGTGTATCAGAATTTTAACTACAATTTATTTCCTGGCATTGAAAATCTTTTTATGACACATTTATTTGCCCCGTTTTCCTCTGATCATCTCTGCAGTTGTCTGATACCTAGAAAAACTGTAATATAATCTAAGAGCACTGTTACTGACAACAAAACATTTTCTGCAGTAGCTGCAGTTTGTGTGTTTAGAGCTAGACATTCATCAGAAAAGAGACTGATAGCCTACGATCACAAATATGTTTGTGTTAGCAGAAGTCAGAAGTTGCAGTCTACATTATCCAGCTGTCTATCTGTGAGCAGTGACTGGTCGAAAGACAGACCTCCACAATTCAGTCTTGGGCCTGGACCAGCAATGCTCTTCAATTATGGACCTGAACTGGCCTCGTAAGAGAACTGCTATTAACTCATTTATTGTGGTTTGGGATAGTTTGTGACTACTCTGCAATTTCAATGATTTTGGATGAATATGGTGTAAAACATGAGCTTTAAACCAAAATCAGATAAAAGGTTTTTAACTGTGATGTCTCTACAGGAAATGTTCTATTTTCTCTCATAGCAAACTGCAGACAGATCAGTTGCAGTTTAATAAGACAAGCAGACAAGAAAAAAGTTCATGGTGTTAATGAAATGAAAGGAATTATTTTTTTGATTCCAGAATTTAAACAGATAAGTAGCTAGACGTTTACTTTGTTCTGTGACCTTTAACGATTCTCCAATGTCATGAAATCTGGATCTTTTTTTACCAACAGTTTTCAAATGATTTTAGTGATAAAGAAATGTGTTCACAGAGAGAGGAAGAGGAGCGGTGTTCGTGTGGAGGAGCAGCTGTCCTGCTGTGCTTTGTGTCAGGACGTCCTGAAGGATCCAGTCTCTACCAGCTGTGGACACTGGTTCTGCAGACAGTGCATCTCCTCATACTGGGACCAGTCTGCTTCATCGGGAGACTCGTCCTGTCCCCAGTGTGGAGAAAGATCCAGATCCAGAGCTGGACTGCAGACAGCCAGTCAGAGCAGCTGTGTACAAAGTAAGACTGAACATCTGTCTGCTGATGGACTCATTTCTGAAAACTGGACTTCTGGTTGTTGTTCAGACATTGAAGAGTTTTCTTTCTCTTTTTATTTCTGTCAGCAGATGTTGGTCTGCAGGAGGTTTTAGATGAACATAAGATCAATCTGAGGAGGAGATGTGAACGTGTGACTGAAGGAAGTGATGAAACAGGAAGTAGAACCCTCCTCAACACCATTTACACTGAGCTCTACATCACAGAGGGACAGAGTGAAGAGGTTCATACCCAACATGAGGTGAGGCAGCTGGAGACAGCTTCCAAGATGGACGCCCTCCATGACGCTCCAATCAGGTGCCAGGACATCTTTAAAGCCTTACCTGACCAACAGAGACCCATCAGAGTGGTTCTGACCAACGGCGTGGCTGGTGTTGGAAAAACCTTCTCAGTGCAGAAGTTCACTCTGGACTGGGCAGAGGGCTTGGAGAACCAACATGTCAGTGTGGTGGTTCTGCTTTCATTCAGGGAGCTGAACCTGATCAGAGATGAGCAGTACAGTCTTCTGGAGCTGCTCCATGTTTTCCATCCAACATTACAGAAGGTCTCAGCAGAGAAGCTGGCTGTCTCTCAGCTTTTGTTCATCTTTGACGGCCTGGATGAAAGCAGACTTTCATTGGATTTCACCAACAGGAAGCTGCTGTCTGATGTCACACAGAAGTCATCAGTCAGCCAGCTGCTGACAAACCTCATCCAGGGGAATCTGCTTCCCTCGGCTCTCGTCTGGATAACTTCCCGACCCGCAGCAGCCAATCAGATCCCTCCTACATGTGTTGACAGGCTAACAGAAGTACGAGGCTTCACTGACGCCCAGAAGGAGGAGTACTTCAGGAGGAGATTCAGTGATGAAGAGCTGTCCAGCAGAATCATCTCCCACATGAAGACATCCAGGAGCCTCCACATCATGTGTAGAATCCCAGTCTTCTGCTGGATCACTGCTACAGTTCTGGAGCACATGTTGACTACAGAGCAGAAAGGAGAGCTGCCCAAGACCCTGACTGACATGTACTCACACTTCCTGCTGGTTCAGACAAAGAGGAAGAAGAACAAGTACCATGATGGACATGAGACGAGTCCACAGGAGCTGACGGAGGCTAACAGGGAAGTTCTTCTGAAGCTGGGGATGCTGGCGTTTGAACATCTGGAGAAAGGAAACATCATGTTCTACCAAGAAGACCTGGAGCAGTGTGGTCTGGATGTGACAGAGGCCTCGGTGTACTCAGGAGTTTGTACAGAGATCTTCAAAAGAGAGTGTGTGATCTTCCAGAAACCAGTCTACTGCTTTGTTCATCTGAGCATTCAGGAGTTTCTGGCTGCAGTCTACATGTTCCACTGTCACATCAACAAGAAGACAGATGTGCTGAAGTATTTTCTTGGTGAAACCTGGGAGGATGATCATCATAATGATTATGATTATGATCTGTTTGATGATCCAGAAATGATTCTCCAGAGGAAATTATCTCTGAATGATTTGTGGGTGTCTCAGAAGCCTTATTCTACTCAGGCGCTTGCACAGAGATCTTCATCTCTGGATGATTTCCTGTGGAAAGTCATGGAGAAATCCTTCCAAAGTAGTAGTGGTCAGCTGGACCTGTTTGTCCGCTTCCTTCATGGCCTCTGTCTGGAGTCTAACCAGACACTCTTAGGAGGTCTGCTGGGTCAGACAGAGAACAGTCCAGAAAACCTCCAAAGTGTTATTGACAACCTGAAGTGGAAGAACGATAATGAAATCTCTCCTGAAAGAAGCATCAACATCTTCCACTGTCTGATGGAGATGAACGACCTCACAGTACATCAGGAGATCCAAGAGTTCCTGAAGTCAGAGAACAGATCAGAAAAGGAACTCTCTGAGATCCACTGCTCAGCTCTGGCCTACATGTTGCAGATGTCCGAGTTGGTTCTGGATGAGTTGGACCTGCAGAAGTACAACACATCATACCAGGGAAGACTGAGACTGATTCCAGCTGTGAAGAACTGCAGAAAGGCTCGGTGAGTGCAGATTAACATCAATAATCTGTGTAAATTATTACTTTTGTTCTTCAGATATATCCATCCATCTATTCATTCATTCAGCCATTCATTCTCTTCCAATTATCCGAGTCCAGCAGCAGTGAAGCCCATACCTCTTTCTCCCTAAGCACCTCCTCTAGCTTGTCTAGGGGAACACCAAGGCATTATCTCAAGGCAGATTGTATCGATACCAATTTGGCATCAGTATCGGATCGATACTAGCCTGGTGAGAGAGATTCTTTACTTTAAGTTCGGCTCTTGTTTGCAATACTGTGCTTTCGGCAAAGACAAAACGGCCAGGTTGCTGGACTCGCTGCTCCCGTGTCAGTGCAGAGCAGACACATTTTACTGCCCCTCCCCCCTCTTGTGCTTAGGTGTTGCGCTGTCATGTGACCTGACTTAGATGCTTTGGGGGTTGTTACATTCTTTACATATTAATTATATTTTCACCAGTTGTTTTTGTTGTTGAGAATTTGAATTGTAATTTTTTTTGTTATAGTTTCTCAACAGTACTTGTTTGTTTTAATTTGTTCATTGGTTTGCGTGCACTTTAAGATTTTTCTAAAATAACAAAAACAAAAAACAACTTGATAACTAAATCACCACCGCAGACCCAAAGACATATTCATGCTTCGCAGCATCATTTATTTTTCTAATAATCTCACAGTTGCTGTAACACTACATTCAACGGCTGCAGCTCTCCCGCTGCCAGCTGTACACATCACCACCAAAAACAACAACAACACAAGCAGAGCACAAGCCAGCAAGGCGTGATTGCAGATGCCGTGCGGGTGAGTCCATCTCACCTGAAGCAGCATCGCAGACCACACCCCACCACAATCATAAAGCATTTTGTATTTAATTATAAACTTTGTCCTAATTATGTCCTGGGTTTTAACTATTTAATAATAAAAAATGAAACATCACAAAAAACACTTAAGATCATGACGCATCCACCTTATTTATTGAAAGGTATTGGTATTGGCCATACTGGCCCGTATTTACTTGGTATTGGATCATACCAAATAAGCAGTATTACACACCACTAATATCGAAGAGAGAGCCCAGCCACCCTTTAGAGAAAGCTCATTTGTGCCACTTGTTTCTATGATCTTGCTCAGGTTTCTTTTCACCACGATGGACCGGTGCAGCATCTGCATCACTCCAGCCGCAACATCAACCCGTCATGACAGTGGGAACGAAAAACTCCCTTTTAACAGGAAGCAATCCCCAGTAAAACCAAGCTCAAGGAGCGACAGCCATTTGCTGCGACTGGTTGGGGTGAGAGGAGGAAGACACAAAAGGGAGTCTCGTGCTCCCCTCTCTCCTCACTCATGAAAATGACCCTGAGATAATTAAACCGCTCTACACAGGGTCAGGGACAAGTTGCTGTCCTAAGTGGGCATTCCACCTTTTTCCATCTGAGGACCATGGCCTCAGACTTGGAGGTATTCATTCTCATTCCCACCACATGACACGCGGCTGCAAACTGCTCCAGTGTAAGCTGGAGTCCACCTGTCATGTATTTATGGAGCAGATCCAAAAGCAGACACGGGATAAATGAACTAAGGTATAACAAAAAGCAAGCCTTTATTGTAGCTGATTACATAAACAGAAAACACAGCAAAATGAGGGAAAAACTGAACTAAACCTACACTGGGAGCAGCTAAGCAAATAGGATAATTAGAACATGAAACTGAACAGGAATATGTGAAACGTGAACGTGAAGAAAACTAAACCTGACCTGCACATGAACATGAACTTGAACAGTAGAAAACAAGACTCTGTGACCTGACCTGGCTTGGCATGACATAAACAGACAACCCGACAAAGAACAGAAGGAGACAAAGGACTTAAATACACAGGAGGCTAATGGGGAGACACACTTGACACAAATGAACATGATGCCACGGGGGAAGTAAAACAAAACACACTGAACATGGAAACACCAGACTCTTCAAAATAAAACAGAAAAAATGGAGAGATGTAGAATTGACACACAAGCTTGACAATGTGGACACAACAAATGTCATGGTCCTGGGTCATTTTGACCCAGTGTTCTTAGTTTCCTGTGGTTTTGTATTTTGTTCTTTATGTTCCCAGGATTGTTTGGTTTGGTTTCTTTGGATTCTCCCTGTGTCCGTGCTTATATTGTGGTGTTTGTTCTGGTACCGTGTTCCCACTCCTTGTGTTCTCCTCATCCCCTCATGTATTCCTTCATGTTCTCTGCCTCTCTCTCTGCCTCTCTCTGTGCTCCTCTCTGTGTACTCTGTGTTGTGTTTAAGGTCCACATCTTGGTGTCAGTATTTTCAGTTTCGTGTCCTCCCTGCTCTGTCATGAGTAATTGTCCTCAGCTGTGCTCCCCATGTGTTCCCACTTCCCTCATTACCTTCTGTGTATTTATGTCACAGTATCCCTTTGTTCCGTGTTTCGTCGTCCCTCTAGGTTGTGTGCATTCCCTCGTGTCTTCCCAGCCTCCCCCAGCCTCAGCTTTAGTTTCTCCCAGTATAGTTTTGTATGACTTCTTATGTTCCTATTAATAAAGACCTGCCTTTCGAGTTTATCCCCGCATGTCTTGAGCCGTGCGTTTGGGTCCCCTCTTGCCTTCACAAGGCCGCCGCATGACAGAACGACGCAACCACGAAATGGACCCAGCAGGCTCTACCCGTGAGGAAGAAATTCTCCGTGTACAGAGTCTGGTTAGGCAAATAACCGGTCGGACTCATGGACAATTTCTGTCGGACTTAATGCCATGAGGGCAATAGTCGAGGGGAAACCCTTTCCTTCGCCAGCTCAGCTGGTATGAGGGCTTTATTGATGAACTGAGCCGAGCCAAGGAGGCGTCACAAGCTCGTGAGCTGGCAGACCGCGTCTTTTCCCGGGATTCCACGCCACAGTGATAGCAGACGGAGATCTCCGCCAGGCAGCCGCCGCAGCAGCAGCGAACAAAGCTCGCCGCGACAGTATTGCAGCAGCAGACGGGGCTTTCAGTAGCGCAACAGCAGCTGCTCCAACGAGAGAGTTTTTCGACGCCGCTGCCGCGGAGCCCTTCTCCATTCCCTCTCACTCTGTGACTCTTGCCTCAGGCCCTAAAGGCTCACAATCTGTAAATGTTGAATCTGAAGCTGAACTTCTTATGAACTGTTGTACTGCCCAGAGGGTCAACTCAGAGACCGTTTCTCCTACGTTTGGACTCATATTTGAGAAACATTATCCTTCGCTTGTGTTTCCTAAGTCTGAAAACTTGAAGTCAGCATTTTCTGAGTTAGAGATACCTCTTTCTGTGCCTTTTACCTGTGTGTCTGCTGAGGATGATTGTTTTGCAGTTAAGCTCACAACTGCGGCTTTAAAACCTGCCTCCTTAGATGTTAAAGCAGTAAAGTTAGAGACTATAAATGTTCCTGTGATAGCTCGACCCCAGCTTGTTACTTCTGAGCCATCACCCCAGGGGAAAGTCCATTCTGACGTGTCTATAATTCGAATGTTCTTAAGTCAGGGGACTCTATACCCACCACTGTTTTCCCTGGGTTTACTATTTCCAGCGATCCGGAGGCAAAAGACTTTGTTTCATCTGCCTTTCCAGTGCACGGGACTATGTTTACATCGGCTATTAACCCCTCCTCTGACAGTATAAGCATGGTTAGTTCCGAAGAAGGCAAGGCAAGGCATATTTATTTATAAAGAAAGAAGCTCAAAGACTGTTGGTGCATCAGCTGATCACACTTCTCTAGAGTTTGTAAACCCTGAAGGTGGTGCTCTAGTGCCTGTAAGCTACAGCTTTAGCACACTTAAATCTGCGAGGTCAGAGCACTGTTTCTCATCCGCTCACTCAGGGCAGGGAATTAATCTCTTGCAGACTGTTCTTTCTAGGGCCGCCTCCCAGGCCCCTTGTGCTCTAGGGATAGCTGCGGCCCAGCACTCCCCTGCACCTGCCTCAGTTCCCCAGGTGAGGAGGGCTGACACGCAGCTGGTCCCTGTTCCGGTTTCCGGGTCGGCTGAGGCTCTGCTGGTCCCTGCACTCGTATCAGCTCCTCGGGCGGGGACAGCAGCCGCCCAGTCCCTGCCGAAACCTGTGCCAACCCCTGAGGTGAGGCCTGCCAGGACCCAGCCGATATCTGCACCTGTACCTACTCCTCAGGTGGGAGCGACTGGTGTCCAGCAGGTGCCTGCACCCTTCATCCGCATTGCAGGCTCAGAGGAACCTACACCACCACCTGTCCTACATCCGGTCCCACAACCATCACTACACTCAGCTGCTCAGGATGCTCCTCAGTCAGTCATTCAGCCTTCTCCCCAGTGCACAGTCCAGCCTTCTCCCCAACCGCCATTACTACCACTAGTTCAGTTTGCTACCCAGTCTCCCTCAGTTCAATCTGTAGTTCCGTCTCCTGTGTCCCCCGCACCTCAGTCATCTACCCCACCACAAGCTCCATTTTCACCTCCACCATCACTTCAGTCATCAGTTCAAGTTCAAGTTCAAATTTTATTCGCCACAAGCAGGTTGCCCTGCAGTGGAATGAACCCGCCCCCGACCTTACACACACAACACAGACATCACATGGGGATACAAGTCAGAGAACGGTTGCATTACAGAAAAACCACTGAAATGTACACTACAATGGGAAAAGTACAAGAGGAAAAAAAGAGACCTCTACTCATGCTGGGCTACAGGAGGACAGCATAAGAACAGGAAACAAAGTCAAAGGAGCTTGCAAAGAAAAGCGTCTGGACTTCTTTAAGTTACTTGAAGACGTTTCACCTCTCATCCGGGAAGTTTCTTCAGTTCTAAGGTCAAATGGTGGAGAGTCCCAGATATAAACCTAGTGGGAGTTTCCCCCCACAGAGGGACAAAAGGACCCCCTGATGATCCTCTAATCGCCTGAGCCAAGTGTGAAACTGGTGTGGCCCCAATCAGCCAGAGTTCGGGTTTGTGATGGACCCACACCCAGTTTCACACTTTGGCTCAGAATAGGTTCGGT